CGTTCAGAGTCCCCACGTGTACCAAGTCTGATATGATTGGTCGGCCTGTTGGCTCTGCCGTAATTGGTCAGTCGCTCAGCACGGTTTTCGGAAATGTCCCGCCCCGTTTACCATATTTGGAATGCAGCCACTTTGGCTCCGAGGGGAGCATAAACATTAGCACCTTAGCACTACTGTGCTACCGCAGGCTACAGCATATCGTGTGTGTGCTACAGAAGTTAACGGGCGTGCAACATGAGCTGCTGGGCTTGCCACAACGAGCCAATGGGCTTAGATCAGTGATATCACACTGACAAGACGTCACACTGACACATTTTTATCGAGGGGGGCTAGAACCGAGCGTTACATGCAGCTAATGCTACAGCTAACAGGAGGACATAGAAGAAGACTTTGAATTTTTGCAAATAGATGTGCCTAAACATGCACAGGACACATGGAAAACACACTAAAGAGCATATAAAACCAGAAAAAGCATAATATGGGACCTTTAAGAACAATCTCATAGCCATTAGCTGAGTGTTAGCATGAGGATAGACTTGAAGTCTTATATGTACATTGTATGTTCTGAAGTTTTCTAGACCCAACATTTAAGTGATTCATCATGAAAACAATTGACTGTTCATTAGTAAAAGTAACAGAGAGAAACTGCATGTTTTTTGGCATACCTGGCTGTCTCTCTCCCAATACAATGTTTTCTTGGTGCTCAAACAGCTAAAGTGATAGAGGACAGGTGAGAGAAGGGCTTTTCCAAACTTTTCAGTTTATGCCCCCCCAAAATAAAGGTTGCAGAGAATGGGGACCCCCCCTCCCCGCCATCCCTCCCGGTCCCTGGATGTGGTTAAGGCAAATAGCGCACCACCACCATGCACTAACAGGCAGAGGCAAGAACAACAAAAATATAATACAGCAGCCTAAAAACCATAAAATGACATTATAAAGTTATTTATTGAAAGAAATACTAGAAACAGAATACAAGTTACTTCCATGTATACTAAACTATACTTATTATACTGTATACTTCCATGTAAACTATACTCATTATACTGTATACTTCCATGTAAACTATACTTATTATACTGTATACTTCCATGTAAACTATACTTATTATACTGTATACTTCCATGTAAACTATACTTATTATACTGTATACTTCCATGTAAATACAAAACTAAATAGACACACAGCAGACACCTACATAGTTGCTGTCATGTGCAAACTTACATCTTAAGTATTTTTACACATTCATTTCATCTCCATGTCATTAGATGAAATGGTTGTATTTGAAATTGAACTATTTTTTATGTCTCTTTTTGCAACAATGGGCAAAATACACCATTTGAAATAATTCTAAATTTAATGGCGTCAAACTTAAAAAGGCATCTGGTAACCGACCGGGCAGTCCAGACTCCAACTTTGGGGAACCTTTCAGTAAAGAGTGAGAAGAATAGACAATAGACTGTCAGATGTTTGTAAGGGCAGATGCAGTTTGCCAAGTAAATTATTTGAACATCTCGAGGACTCAGTAAGATACCGTGGAGTCAAATTATGGAACACGCATATTTATTTACTTAAAGATTTTTTGTCTTTTTCTGGATACAAATTGAGACTCAGAAATGCGTTGATGTCAAAAAGATTTGTAGTGAATAGTGAATTGTCCTGATTTTGTAATATTGTCTGCATACTGTATGTCCTGTTTTGCTCTATTTTTATGTTTTCAATGCTTGTATGTAATTTTCAATTGGGTAAATGTTATTTGTGATAGTAAATATTCTTACTGTTATTTTTACTGTATTTTATTTTAACTTTGTTTAATCTCAAGGTTTTGAGATAAGCCCACATGGGTTTCTACCTCACCTGCACATGTGTTTTATTTTTTATTTGTTTTATTTTTCTGTTTGACTCTTCTTTCAAAAAATGTGCAAATAAACTAAAACTAAACTAAAGTGAATAAAAGAAAGAAAAAGAGAAATTTAAGCTGGAAAAACCCATCTTGTGAAGTCTACCAGGCCTAAAATAGCATTATAGAAGCGTATACAAAAGGAAAGACGTGCTCATTTACAAAGCAAAAGAAGAGATATAGAGCATGTACCACTGCTCTAAATGCTCACACATCCACGTCTGATTGTGCCCTGCAGCACTGACAACACGAAACCTCAGACTTGACTTCACACTGGAGCTCAGATCAAGTCCAGCAAGGGAAGAAGAAAAAAAAACGTGGGGAATGTTTGTTGAGGGTGAAAAGAGCCCAGAGGACAGAGGAGGAGTCCTGCTCTCAGTGAACACGCCAAATCGTTTTCATGCTCAAAAAAGCAAGAGTCCAGGTGTCTGAGCCTCCGAAATGATGTAACAAAATGCTTTGTTTTCCTTTAACATTCCTCTGGACATCTGGGTGGTTCTTGTTGTACCTCCTGTTAAAACATGTTCGGTACTAAAATAACAGAAGGTGTTCTTTGGTCTATTATGATATAAGATCAGTATTAACTTAGACCATGGAGATCACAGGTACAAAAACACAGTTATTGTTCCTCTTTAAAAAGATGTGTTTACCCTTTGTGGAATATAGCATCATCAAAAAGCTTCCATTTAGCAAGTAACTCAGTGGATTTGAGCAGGAATGACGACCTATATTGATTGAGATCATTAGCCGATAAATATGTAATGTCGTTATGTTTCAATAATGTAGGTTTAGAGCCCAAATTGCAAAAAATCTATTTTTTTTGTATGCAAGGTCATGGGCGGTTCTAGGCAGGGGCCAACAGAGGCCAACATGGGCCAGTGCCCCTGTAACACTGAGCTTGGTCCCCCCTATGGCCACCCCTCCAAAAGGAAGAGCCCCCCTAATAACACATACACAGTACTTGACTCAACAACCGGACTCACAATCTCGTATTAAACTCTGTTACTGAAACAAATATAAATCATTGTATTTAATGATGTGCGCTATTATTTGGCATAATATATATTTTAAAGCGATCATCTTTGTCTATTTTTCACCTGGGTTTAATGTTCCCCTCTGACAAAACAACTGGCCACAGTTTGGCCCCCCTCAGTAAAAGTGGTCTAGAACCGCCACTGTGCAAGGTTCATGGCAATCATGTTAAATGTGACAGATATTTGAATCTCTTTGTGCAGTTCAAAGTACAAAACAAGCAAAGTGGGAGAGATCACTCTGTTGTGAGGATCCAATAATCTACTTCTAGACTTCGTGGACTGCAGGATTCACTGAACACCGCTTGTTGACTATGAAAAGTTCCTCTGAAAGACTGAGCTGTAAGAGAGTTGTTTAGAGACATTCAGGACAGCTTCATGTGCTGAGTGACGCTCATCACTCAATCAAGTCAAACTGACGATCACATTCGGGCACAAAGACTGCGCTCATTTCTGCAGACTTTAAAACTTCAATGGAGAATAAATCACTTACAGAATGGGTGTTGTTTTGCAGGGTTGACTCGACTCCAGCCAGATCGGCGCATGTCTGTTCATTCAGTCCTGCGCTGCGTTTCGATAACTCCGACGTATCTAAACCATGTCGCTCATCATCACTTTTAAAGTCCCTCTGCAGCCGGCTCACTCCTGACAGCTTTATCCCCGGGTGAATATCTGTGCCCAGTGAACACGAAAAACAACAGAGCGCCAAAACGCAAGACGCACGGATCATGTTTACTAAGACGTTAGAGCAACTTCGGTCCTTTCGAGAAACTCTTCTGACCCAACGCTGGTTCCCCACATGCCCCCCCTCATCACCCAAACGCATCTTCATTGACTGCCCCTCCACCACGGCAGCTGATTGGCCAGGACCAGAATAACCTACGATCCCATTGGAGGACAGGAATCTCCCTCAAAATGCGATGTCAAATGATTTCTGGTGTTTGAGCGCCCCCTCCTGGTGGACAGACCGCATCGACAAAGAAAACGTTTTTTGTTTTATAACCAGATAAATTATTCTCTGAACTTCGTAAGTGGTTCCAAGAAACAGTAAGAAAACCAGAACAAACATTAGGAAGAATACGATTTCTTACCAAGAACGGAAACAGTTTACAGCTTACTTGGCAAAAGCTCTAAAATGACATTCTTGTCATTTTTTTAAAATTATTATTCACTAAAAGACCCCAAAAACGCTGAAACTGAAAGTAAGTGATCAAGAAAATACTGAACAGTATCCACTTAGAGTTGAAATGTTAATACAGGTAAAATAGGACCCGGCTGACCCCTCTAGAGGTTTAACCTGATATAATAAACTTCAGTGAAATAACAAATAACATCACTGATCAAACTCCAAAGCAAAAAATATACAATTTTTACTTTCAAATCTTTTGGTTTAAAAAGTTTCCATTTATATATTCTGTTTCTATTTTGGGAGGAAAAAATGAAGACTTGGTTCGTGGAAATAGATCAGTGGTTGCTCTTTATAAATAAGAGGAAATTAATGTAAACATGAAAAAATCTGTTAGTTTCTTGAAATGATTTTTTTGGCCTGTATTTGACAGTGAACACAAACAAGGGGAGAAAACGATGGGGGATTAAATGCTGCAGTTGCTCTTAAACATAAATAAAATGTAGGTAGTAACTACATTAACAACTAGCAAACATTCTTTATCACACGAGTATTCTTTTTTCATGTAACTCTGCTAATGTTATGTGATGCATTTAAGTGTTTAGAAAAATAGTACGTTAAGTGCCATAGATAAAGTTTAACCGTTCATTTCAAATCAATAAGAATACAGAAAAAAAACACAAAACAGCCAAAGACCACTTTTTGAATACAACAGTTTAATTGTAGTACTGATTCGTAACAAAAAAATCCCCCCCACCCCTCCCCACTGTTTTCCTGCCGCTCAGTTGTAAGTGCTGGTCAGACCCCTGCACAAAAGTTGTACTCAGAGAGAAGAAGTTAATTAGCACAATACAAAGAGACTACTCTTATGCAATCCCAAAAACCGGGGACTGCAACAGGAAAATGCGCTGATGGAAAGTTTTGTGTTGTGACATTCAGCCCAGGTGATCCTTGTCCGCTCCTGCCCAGAACTCGAACTCCAGACTTTTTGAATCGTTTCCGCTCTAGATGTCCTTGATTACATCCTCAAGCTCTTCTTTGGAATACATGTGGAAGGTCTTATTGGGCTCTACTGTCGCCAGCTACAGAGGAGACACAGATTTAATAAGTCTACATGAAACACTTGTGTTTAAGGTGTTTAAAAAGAATAATTAGTCTACAAGCACCCTCCTGTACTAAAGTAAAATATTTAGATACTGGCTGAGTAATTAGGAACAAACCTCAATGTTGGTAGCGTTCAGCTTTTCCTCCATCACCTGCTTCAGAATGGTGAGAGATGACTTGATGGCGTCTTTTAATGTCATGGACTGTTGGTGACCCGAGAAGAGAGGAACAAACAGAAAAAACAACTCTTCAATCCTCATGATTTGCATACTTAAGATAACTTTTCATTTCATCTAACCTTTTCATTTTATTTTTCAAACTGACACAAAAGTTAGCATCCTCAAAGTTTGCTTTGCTATTTTTCCTTTTAACTATGATAATGCTGTGTGGTCACTACCTTGTGGTAGACCTCCTGCAGAGAGCTCTGTGCTCCCTCAGACGCAGAGCCGATGGCCCGAGCGTCACACTGCACAAAGGTTCCTGATGGGTCCATGTGGTACCTGCATTCACAAAAAAATAAGGTCAGCTAGAGATAGAATTCACAATGAATAGGATTTTGTTTAAAAGTATGTAATGTGTGGTAATCTCTACATACAACTGAGGTCCCTTTTCATCGACTCCTCCAAACAGAAGTGCCACGCCAAAAGGTCGACTCTGTATAGATGACGGCAGAGAAGTACAGAGAAGAGAGAAAACAAAGAGGGTTATGCCTTGAGAAAAAACAAACTGACTTGATGTGATACTTTCAGCATAGAGAGAAGCAGAGTGACTGACCATGGCACCAGGATCAGCGTCCTCTTCTCCAAACTGCAGTGCCAGGTTGGACACAGCCTGAGTCACGCTCTCCACTGTCATTGTCTCATTGTAAGTGAACCAATGGTTCTGATGGGAAACATATACAGGTTAATCACAGGTAGAATATGAAGTCAGTGAATATATGTTTTACTGTGCGGCCATTCATACCTGTGTTTCCACTCTTGCTTTGTCAATAAGAGTCTTGGCATCGGCTATCAAGCCACTCATGGCGCAACCTTTGAGGTGCAAAGAAAGATCATTACAAAACTGCTGATCTTGCACATGCTGCAGCCTAAAGCAAAACTCAGAAAGGCCATTCCATGTTATATGAGGAAGGATTATTACAAAATAAATCCAGATGATACAATTTTTCCAAACCAAACTACTAGTATATAAAGTATATATACCGTAACTATAAGTCTCATGTAAAGTGAGTGATAGAGCCTCCCAACAACACACAACATGGCAAAGGGGAGTCCTTTTGTGATGTTTTTAAAAAAAATGTGTCTTTGATGCATGTGAGTTAAGCTTCTGGAATTTATATACACATATATATATATATATATATATATATATATGATTAGCCAAACCTCCCAAAATAACATTTTATTTTCTATATAAACATGAATTCTGAATAAGAATTATTGATTTTCACTTTGAATAATTCTGAGTTTCCTCATGTGTAGTCATTTTATTTTCTCTGTTTTTCTTTCAATCAGCGCTAGCCTTAGTATATTTTTAATGTACAAAAACAGTCGTATACCAAATCAGGCTGAACATGTACTGTATGAATTAAAAAATGAACACACACTTCAGAACAAGTCCATAGCTGGCGTTAAATGTGAGTTTTTCCATTAAATCTGTTGTGTTTCTTTTCACTTACCGATGTGAGTGTCGATCTCAACGATCTTTTCAATGCTGTTGGGCTCCATAAGTGGAGAGGTGATTCTCTTTTCCACAGCCAGACACACTCCCTCTGACGTCTGGATACCAATGGCTGTGGAGCCCAACTAGGAAAGCAAGGCCAGACCAAAAAGTACATCTATGAGCTTAAACTTTTTATTATTTCAGTTTTACATCTGCCACAGATGACGACAAGTGTTTAATTTAAGTGATTCTGCATGTAATACTAACCTTTATGGCCTCGATGGCATATTCAACCTGGAACAATCGTCCCTCGGGGGAGAATGTGTTCACACCTCTAAAAAAACAAATGTGAGAAATGATAATAAATAGTAGCGGTGATGACGTGTTTGTCAGATGTTGGATTTATGTTTATGGGTGATCATTTAGTGACCCATTTTTTTACTCGTAATCTGTTGAAGGTGTTGGAAATGCATTTTTATTAGAACACTCATCAACAGTACATTTAAATCTGAATGGATTTATTGGTTAAATAAAGCTTAATTAAAAAAAAAAAAGTGGGAGCGAAAGTGAAAGCAAATTAAGCTTGCTGTGAAGTGACTATCTGCGAGTTAACAACCTGCAACAAACGTCAATAGAGTAACAAAAGGTATCAAAACGATGTACTTTAAGATCTCCTGAGCACCCATGATCACAATTATCTGGTACATCCAGCTAGTTGTGACAGCTCTCCTGAGTTCAAACTTAAAAGCGCTCAATAAATGACAAAGCAGTTTGTAGTACCAACCTGTCATATTCGGATCTTGTCAAAAACATCTTAAACTTTCAACACAGGACCTGTAGAAAGAGGAGAGTTTTTTTGTTAAATACTATTGGACCATCAAAGAGTTATAACAATCACATAAAAGTAAGAACAACTCGTTTCTTCATGTTTGCCGTAACACCGGGTGATTAGCAGTGCTAGTATTAGCTACGATGCTAAGTGACGCGGCCAATCACTTAAATAACTGCGTTTAAAAAGCTCCTAGAAGTCTAACGTCAATATTCTTAGATTAAAACTATATTTAAGAAAACACACATGCACTATACCGCGACGCATATCATCAAAATAACACGTAATAGACTTATTTACCTCTAGCCAAAGACCCTTGAATGAGTTCGCTTGTTTCGGGGGAAGCGTTTAGAGTGCAACACCTAGACGCGTCGGGTGTCAACAAAACAGATACACATAGTTCCGCATATGTAAATCAATCCCTGCGCGTCCATGATTTCCCCGCTGAAGTAACTAAAATTGAAATACAATTTTAACAAAGAAGAGAATATATGTCTTGATTTGACCAACTTGATTTTGAAATGACCCCCCCCCCCCATAATATTTTAGATAACTTTTACAATAACATGTACTATGTTGACTAAAAAGATGAGCTGGGAAGGAAAAAAGTTACTTAACTCACTAACTGTCTTTAGTTTATCCTGTTATGTCTCTTAGAAAACAATATCAATCGAATGTGTCAAATTCAAGAACAGATAATGGAGGTCTAATAATAATACTAATAATATATATATAGGCTATGTAGGCTACATAAAAAAGTTGGTATGCTTTATTAGTATAATGACCTTTATTAAAACTCTTCTAAGGAAATGCAAACAAATTAATCTAATTCATACCACATAAAGGACCTTTACAATTTACAAATGCTACTGCTTAAAACCCTAGTTTGCTGTACAGAAAATCAGTAGCAAGTCATACCAGGATATTAGCCGCTAGAGGTCGTCCTTTAGCTGAACGAAGGATGAGCAGCCGCATAAACGTAAATCAACACAATACCAAAAAAAAAGCTGATTTTCAAAATGCGTTTTATAGACAGAGTTACCACAGTAGGGACGAAAGATGCGTGAGTGAGGCTTTATACTAATTTCATTTTGTGTGCTTCATGATATTTAATGTATGAAAGGAATTTTAAATACCAGCGATAATTAAAGATAAATCAAACGTTGTGCAAGACCTCTGACCAATAGTCTTACATGTTGTTCTATCAAACATGTTTGATTCTCTCGTTTAGCCCATGTTGGTTCAGGTTGAGAAGAGGCTATAGTCCCTGTGGCTCTGTTGCCAGGTTCCACACCCGGTCCTGACTCATGTCTTTCCCCACTCTCCCTCGTCCCTTCACATTTCCCGTCTCTTCATCTTTCCTGTCAAAAATAAAGGCCAAATGACCCCCAAAGAAAAATAACTCATTGGATGCAGAGATCAAGGAATGGTGGAAATTAGATATATATAGGCTATATAGTCCAAGAATGTCCTCTGTCCTAGTATTTTCTTCAATTGTTAACGTTCTTTGTACTTCCTTTATTTATTTATTTAAAATTTATCATGCTTTACTGGCTTAACCACTTGTTAAACCGAAATGAACCCAATTTTAAATAAATATCCCCTGTCAAGGCTATATAGACTATTATCCAGCTATCCATTATCCATTATTATTATTATTATTATTATTATTATTATTAATAATAATAATAATAATAATAATAATAATAATAATAATAATAATATTATTATTATTATTATATTTTTTTAGCCTAGTATTATTAGCCTATTAGCACTGTTATTATTATTATAATTAGCCTAGTATTATTGGCCTATTATTCTTAATATTTTGCATTGTTGTTTTTAATATTAATCAACAATAACTTAATCTGCTCTAAAGATAAATCATAATAAGAATGTATAAAGGAGTTGAGGTGAAGTTGCCACTGTTATGAGTTAACTGGCTTTGTGAGAGGAGGACTGGGGGGTGTCAGGTTTCATTTCCCGGGTGGATCAGTTTAGTTCGGTCTCGTGTCGGTTCTGTTGTTGAAGTCCAAACGTGGCGCTGCTCGTTACTTCAATAAATTCAAGTCGTGCTGCTCCTGTTGATGGAGAAACACCTCGTGTTTTAATCCCCTCAGGCTCGTCTGCCAGGTGTGCATCCTTTGACAAGTCTATACACTGCACCTTTGACATGGTCAACATGAAGATTGAGAGGGAGGACATCATTTTTCAGGCTCTCCTCTTCATCCACAGTAAGTAGGCTGGAGTTTGGTTGATGCACAATTGTGATGAACTCTCAGCTATGCGCAGAGTATAACATGTTAAAACAGTTTCTTATGAAGTCCGAAATCTGCAGCAAAATTACCTGGACAAACAGAGCGTTTTACATTTGAATCTCATTTCTTTTAGATTATGCTACATGTTTGTGAAGTCTGTAAAATAAGCGTTTTACATTCAAGTTAACGCGCTGAAATGTTGCCAAGAAAAAAAAACAATCTTTATTCAAATATTTGAAGGTTATACTAAAACTAGACTGGGTGCTTTCCTCCTGTCCACCTCATGCATTTCATTCACACAAACACATTCCTGCCTGATGACTTCCACTGAGTCATTATACAAAGTATTAAGACATTTACTTTCTTAACTGCACTTTTATTCATTTGAAATAGTAGCCTTTCCACTTTTGATTTTTAGCAGGTTTATTTTTATAGAATCAGTTGCAGTAAAATAGTTTGTTGTTGGCCGACATTAAATGAAATGTGTTAATTGAAACAAATACAGTTCTTGTTTAATCAAAGTATAGAGAGGCTTATTTCCAACTGGAATTATATTTATATTACATTAACACAACATTTAGTGGCAGTCTGACAAGGTCTGCTAAAAACATTATCCTGTTCTTTTTCCCACTGTTGCTGTTGTAGTCCCTGTGGCCTGCCTCTTCACTGCAGGTCGGTTTCTCTTTGTGTTTATGTCTCTACAGTTTTTATTCACATCCATGCATTTCTATTGAAGGATTTTAAACACTGAATGTCTTAGTGTATAAACTCGTGTGGGACCCTCTCTCTCTCCTCAGTGTCAGCTCAGGCCGACAGCAGCAGCAGCGTGGTGGTGGCGGGGTACAACGTGAGCGCCCCGGCTGGGTCAAGGGTGTTGCTGCAGTGCGTGAGCGGCCGGATGGTGTGGACCAGGGACAGGGTGAGGGACAGACAGAGGGTGCTCCACTGGGACCTGTACAGAGCCAGTCCAGACTACACCATGGAGAGGGTGGTGGACATGTTCTCAGCGGGGGACCAGAGGATCTACAACTCCTATAACCTGGACAGGGTCAGCCTCAGCCGGACCGCCTTCAAGGATGGAAACTTCTCTCTGGTCATCAAAGGTCACACTCCCTGTCCTTGGTTTTCATGGAGCTGTTTTTCTTTTTACTGTAGCTTGCATGCTGTCTTCCTGTTGGTTTAGTTCAGCTCTGCATTTATGCCATTTTTTCACATTTGATCCTTATAACGGCCAAATGTATATACTGTAGATGTAGATCAACTAATTTTTCAGCAGATGTGCTATGTTAGATAACACAGAACATCACCTCTATCTTTTTGTCACAACAGCATGCTGATTACTTTGAGGCTGGAGGACATGGCTTTATTTTTCGACTACTAAGTCATAAACCTAGCTGTTTCTAAAAAACTGTTCCACATTGGAGCATTTTATTTTTATTTTTTTTGTAAATTTTATTTCATTCAAACAAACAATGAAGTTAAGAAAAGCAAACAAACATAAAATCTCAAATTTTGAATGAAAAGGAGCAAAAAGAAGGCTAATCTTATAATATCTGCCCCTCTTTCACAAAACATTAATTAAAACAAAACAAAACACTTCATTCAAAATTCAAAATTCATTCATTCTTGTAGGGAAGCCAAACATTCACACAAACAGTGGTTATGATTCAAGATTTTTTTGTAACAATTTTCTTTAACTTCTGTGTCGGCTCGTTGCATATCTGTAAAGGATTTATTTTCTCATAGCAAAAATAAAATCTGTCAGTGGTCAGATCTTTTCAAACAGCTGCTGCAAAATTAGAAGGCTCCCAACTGGCTCCACAAGATAATGTGGTCTCTTACTGGTCTCATAATGGTGCAATCTTTTAAATTAAGAAGAAGTAATGGTTCTACTGGAAAGCATGACCATGTTGTATTTCTGTGTATGATGACAGACGTGACTATGAACGACCGAGGTCTGTACTCTTGTAACCTCCACCATCTCTACTGCCACCTGTATGAAACAGTCCGGGTGCAGCTCAATGTTACTAAATCCCGTAAGTATCTCACTGTATCTATGAGCATCTGCAGCAGATAGTGACTTTAAAGCTCACTTAGTTTGTCTTTTTTTTTCTCGCATTTATACCTTTAAGGTCGTAAAGAACAGCGCTACTGGGATGGACACAAAGCGGTGTATGTGGTGCTACTTGGCAGCACCGTGGTTCTGCCGTGCGTCAACCGACGTAATGTGTGGACGGACTGGACCAATGAGGAAGAGGACCAGCAGGTGTGTTTGTTTTTCATTACAATTGAAGTCCAGGTTAATTTTCAATACAAAATGTATTCGATAAAATAAATGATACAAGTCTCCTGCCTTGATGGCATCAGGTGGTTCACTGGGACAGACAGTCTCCAGGAGTCCGGCATGACCGCGCAGACCGGCTGGTGGACCTGTACGCCTCCGGGGAACAGCGTAGCTATGGACCTCTGTTCCTCCAGAGGAAGATGAACATCAGCAACCAAGCCTTCTCGGAGGGGGACTTTTCACTTGCTATATCTGATCTGAAGGTGTGATCTTGTCAATAATAATACTACTAATAATAATAATTGTATAAATGTAGCACCTTTAAAAACACTGGTTTACAAAGTGCTTTGACATACAGTAAAGAATGGAGGGTAACATAACAGAAAATATCACAGGAGCCTGATTTTAAAGCACACAGTAAAAATAAACCACTACAGCAAAAAGATACACTTCATAAAGATGTTACCTATCAGTGAACTTTTGTCATTCTTCTGGAAATAAGGTTAGTGGTGTCAGTTAAGCATTTTAACATTTAAACCATAACAACAGTAGCACCAGAAACAACACAGGGTCCGTACAGTCCCATGCTGACAAGAGAAAAGTCATATTTTAAGAATTAGGACAGATGTTTAACTTTTGCCGGATATTAGAATTTGGTGACATCACATGGACCGATGTTGAATTTTAGTTGGATATGAACATCTGGCTGGTGTCAAAACCCATAATTGGTTAGTATTTTTATATAACTTAATGATGATGGTCTCCATATTATTGATGATGATGATGGTAATGACGATGGTTTTTATTTGATAACGATGACTTATAAGATGGTTTCTATACTGATTAGAGCTCTCAAGAACTGTCCTCAATGTTGTGCTTTGCCTCTGGTCACTTCCTGTCAGCACCTGTGTGTCCAATCAGACTCAAAGCTGATCGTTTGCTCTTACTGACATTGTTCCCTTTTTTTCTAGATCCTTGCTAGTGTTGTTCTTACTCTCTGATGTACGTCGCTTTGAAGAAAAGCGTCTGCTAAGTGAATTGTAGAATTGTAGAATCTGACCAAAACCTTTAAAAAGTGGATTTAGTCTAAGCAATCTAAACAATCTACTCTTTTGAACTTCAGCGTCTCACAGATTGTTTTCATGTGTTAGTTCTGATATATACAACATGGTCTGTCTGCATTTAAAAACACAGCCCACTGATCAGGGGAAGTATTCCTGCCATCTCCACCATCACTACTGTGGCCTACATGAAAGAAGAGAGTTTCAGGTTACAGTGGAACCACCAGTGATACAGCCCACCCTGCCAGCCAAGGCACTGCCCAGTGAAGACAAAGGTGGTACACACACACACACACACACACACACACACACACACACACACACACACACACACACACAGAATCCCCCTTGCTGTTCTAGTTTTAGATCAGTGTGAGTTGTGAGTGCCTAAACTAGAGGGGGTGTTTTGACAAATTGAACTATCATGTGTACAATTAAGATGAAACAACTTGACAAACATCTGTTTTTTCGTTCACTCTTCCCCTCTGTGTTTTCTCATTTTGGCCTCACTCATCCTTGCTGTGTTCCCCTCAGTCTCTCCCAGAGCAAAGTAACAGCTGAGGAAGTAGGGGAAATCTTATTTCTATTTGTTTCATGAAAAACGTTTTTTTTTCTTGCACTGTCAGCTTGTCTGATGCCAGAGCCCTGAAACCACACTCACACTCCCTCACAACACAGTCCTCATTTCCTTACCCTACTCAAATTTGACCTTCTTCTCAACAAAACTGCTGCCTGTTATCACACCATTTTTTTTTTTACTGATTTTTTTCTTCCCCAAGTTTCTAGTTAAATATTGTTTGCTTTGTCTGGAGTCTGGTTATCTACTTTCTTTTTGAAGCCAAAGACACGTACTCATTAGAAAGAGAGAAGAGCAGATGAAGAAAAGGACCGTCTGCTTGGCATGGCAGCTGTCCTCCTCCAAAATATTTGGAGAATGACAGAGCTTTTGGTGCATGTGTCTGTGTTTCCAGTAGTAGAGCTGATAATGGCAGACGTATCAATGTGAGAAAATCTTTTGAGAGACGTTTTGAAAACCTAAATACTTGAGGCCTCCTAGTCCATTTGTGTGTGCGTCTGTGTGCATGCGTGCAAGCGTGTGTGTGTGTGTGTGTGTGTGTGTGTGTGTAAGAACATGCCAAGTCCGATCTCATTTCAGTGGAATCTCTCAAATACAGTCTAAGGACTGGAGTCCAGCTCCTGCCCACACAAATAATCCTTCTCTCCGGGCTGTAATAATACTTAAGCATTGGACCATGGGAATGTTACTGGTTTAACTGATTTATCTCCAACACAGGAGTGGGTTTGCACAGTGTTCTGTGTTGTTATCTGCTTGTGTTGTGCCCTCTCTGACCGTCTGCTGCCGTGTTGACTTTGGCTTTCTCCTCACATTCTGAAGTGTTTTACCCCTCCTACATCTCCCTTCTGCCCCGTCCTCTTTTAGTTTTCTTCCTCCTTTGAGGATCCCAAATGCTCATATTCATTTATTTTCATCACACTCTTTTCTGTGGCTTTTCCAGTGTATTGTTGTTGCCATTCTTAACAAAGAAAGATAACTTTTTCTGGAATAGTTTATGGATGAGAGGGCTTCATCTGTGCCACAGCTGGCAAACAAGAGACGGACTGAGATGTGTACAGACAGAAGAGAGAAGGAGGGAGATACTCAAAGAGAGAAGGAGTCTGTTGATGAAATAGGGAAGAAAAAGATGTAGGTCACCCCTCCCTCTCAATCATTAGAGTCATTTCTTAGTGCAGTTTTTGGTAGTGAGAGGACTGGGCAGCCAGTCCAAACACAAACACACAAGTCTTGGCACGAGTCAGGAGAAAATGTCTTGAAATTATAAATAAAAGGGATCAGAGGATTTAAACTGTCAATGTACATGTTGTTTGGTGTAAGCTGCAGATGTGTATTTGCTGGAAGTTTGGCTTTAGGGTCTGAGGGTGATGTGTTTGCTCTGGAGAAACATCTCACCCCTGTCCCCTTCCTCTCCCTTGGCTCAGCTCCTCCGTTCCACCCGCTCTGTCCTTCCTTCGCTCCGCTTCCTCTCCTCACATTCTCTGTGTTTGTCTGCCAGGAAAAGTAAATCACAGCATGACTTTCTGTCTGGATCTCATTCTGGCTCAGATATGTCGAGTCTGAGGTCTTCACAGCTGCTTCTTGCGTTGCACTTTTTTTTTTTTTTTAAATGAGGCAAAGTGAAACCAGGCCCCCCCCCCTCCCCCTCTGCTTTTCAACACGCTACAGAACCGCACATATCACCTAATGCTGACTGGCTTATTATTTCTCACCGCCCCAGAAATGTTGTCAGCATTTCTTTACAGCCAGGAAAAGTCATTGCATAAAAAACAGGTTATATAAAGTTATTTGTGAGGTGTTAGAGCATTACCAGCACACATGCAACAACAAATGTACACATTTGTTGAAACCTGCAAAGACTTTTTTTTATTTTCATTTGGCTTTTAGACTTTTCTCAAATATTAGTCAGCTGACATTGAATTTATCCTGCCACACCAAACACACTTGATTTGCAAACACCAACTTCACTTTGTTGAGGGTCCTACAAAAAAATTGGCAATGAAAATAAGGCTCCAACAGTCATAATAGTGTTTGAGACTTACAAAACAGATATAGTTCTTTGCTCTCATTCATCAAAAGACAGAATATTTTCTGTCTTTAATTTCTGTGTTTGGGCTGTTTTTCGCTAAAGGAAAAGCCAGGGATACTGCTTAGCACTGCATTAGCAGGAACTACCCATGAATGTTGATCTGGACCAAAAGTTAGCTGCTAATAAACTGCTAATAAACCAGATGTTGAAATGCTTGACAGGATGAATGAATATGTTTCCCTTCTGAATTTTCTGCAGGAAGTGTAAGAGTTTCACAGAAGTTTTAGACCTACCTGCCTCTTAAAGAATTCATTCTTTTGGCACCTTGAATAGCTGGACATAAACATATTTCAGGAAGACGTGGCTAAACAGATTTTTAGCTGTAAATCTAAACTTTAATCCATGCAGGGATTACTGCTCAAATTAATTCACATGGGAGGAAGAACTTGACCCAATCCCTCGATAAGAAACGTAGCTTTAGTTTCCCATTTTTAACTTCAAGTTTTGAGAAACTGAAAAAGCCCCAGCAGGAGCCTCCAACACAGTGAAATGAAAAACAGGAAGCAGTACAAGTGAGAGCTTTTATTGGACTCAATGGATTGTTTCTGTGTAACTCATGTGGTGTGTGTAATGTCTTTTCAATGTCACATCTGTTCCCCGCGTTTTACATTTGTAAACTTTGTGATGACACATTGGTGTATTTGTGAAGATGATAGCATCACTAAATGCTGACTGCTGCGATCTGTGCACTACTCAGACACCACTAAGGCTGAATCACCGCGAGTCATCAATGTGATCCTCCCTGAGCAGAGACACCACTTTCTCCTGCCGCTCGGCTACGTCCTCACCTCCTTCCTGCTCCTGGCCTTCATCATCCTCATCATCATCCTCATCACACGCAGACGTAGAACCAAAGGTAAAAAATCTGCAATAACTCAGTCGTCAATAAAGTGGCTTTACATTGAATTTACACTCATGATACTCATGTAGTTTTCCACTCTTTCAGAGTATCACCCACAGGTGTCTATAAGGTGAGTGAGAACACACACACACACCTAATCACTTTGATCTTTAAACTACATCATCTACTCTACTCATTCTGTTTCTATTGGCTCGAGTTGAAATCTCTGGAGTATATGCTGCCGCGTTCAGACATCAGCTCACTCGGACTGTTTGCATTCACACATAGCCTAAAGAACCTGCTGGTAGCCAAATCTCCAGAGTTTTTCAGGAGATTTCTGTATGTGTGAAAAGGTGATGATTCCTCTTTGTGTGTACAGGTCCAGCAGAAGTCAGAGCAGCTCAGAGGAGTTTGAGATGGACGTCCCTGAAGTGAATGTGTGCAGTCGGGAGGAGAAAAGATTTGGTCAGTTTTTAAAAAAAAAGAAAAAAGTGGAAGGTACCTAATTAGCAGCTTTTTTTCTTGAATATGCATATTTTGACTTTCTTCTTTGTGATTTTTAGAGTACAAGAACAACCTGCTGAAAGAGAAGGTGCACATAATCTCTCAGCCCAAAGTCATTGATCTTGACAAAGGTAGCCCACACTCATAATTCACATTCAGCCATCGTGACTCTTCTTGATTTTTCTTCTTACATTAACCTTTGTTGTCTTTGTATCTGGCAGAGATGCAGAAGTTTTCTAAGTGACCACATGACAAAAATAGAAGTGAAGCTGAGGTCACTGGCTGGTCCAGATCCATAGTGAACACCTTCACCCTTCTCTGTGTCCTGACGCGACACAAAGCAAGAAAAGAAAAGGTTGTGAAAAGCAGAAAACATGTCTTCAAAGTATCAGCACTACAGACAAAATAAAAAGTGTTTTTGTTTTTTAATTTTTTGTACTTGAGCATACTTAAAATACTGGACTTTGATACATTTGCGCTTTACACTTACGCCACCTAGAGGGGAGTTGAAACAAAGCCCTAAATTGAACATGAAAAATGTGCAAATTATTTTAATTATCTGGATGAAGTTCACTGATTTGAATAATCAGTTATTACAGTGTTGATCATTATTCCGAGAGTATGATAAACATGTGTTTCTTCTGTTTTACTGTCATATCATCTCAGCTTTACTGACACGCCCACTGAAGAACAACCATCAGTGTGTACCACCTCCTGCAGGCTAATATTAACTGTATGCTAACTGACCAATCAAGCATTGCAAGACATTATGATTGATCTTGATGCTCGGACTGTATTTTTTGTGGAATGTACATTTTACATGAAATGTTTTTTTGTTTGATGCTGATGTTGAAATGGGGAGAGGGTTTTATATGATTTGTTTTCTCCTTGTGTTCAAATCATCTTGTCAAGATCACATCCTATTGTTCACTGAATATGGACTGAAACAATGGTGGGAGTTGTTTTTACTGCAGACATTTTTGACTTGCCAGAGGAGAAAAATACAGATGTAATTAAAAACATCAACAAGTGTCTGAGTGTGACTGTGAGAAAATTGTCAACTCTGACTCTGGCAAGAAGCAGTGACACATTTAGCCCTCCTAAACTTTGACTTTGTTCAGCTGTGCTTTTCCTTTTTTTGAAATGTCAGAATGTACTTTATGATGAAGATCTTTAGTAAATCTGTAATTCACAAACATATTTTTCATTCACCTGTTTGGATGTTGGGAGTAGAATCAAGCATCTTCATATTTTAGATTTCACTGACATGTTCGTTTGATGCACGGAATGTCACCTGGTTCAACAGAACTACTTGTCTACATGAGAAGAGACGGTGACCTTATGCCTTCTGCTCATTTTAGATGCTTGCTTGTCTTTTCATTTGGTGGGCTACCTTTAAAGGGAACTACACACTCAAAGTGATTTGCTGAACACAGGTCATGTTTGCACTGTTGTAAGATCAGTATTTTGAAAAACTGAGGAGATGCTTAAAACACCATCCCATCAGATTAAGACATTTATGACCAACCAAAAGATAGAACAGTGTTATTGTGTTATTGCAAATCTTATTTTTCCCTCCCTCACCTCATCCCAGCCTTGTCCGGCATCCGCTGGTGTGAGGGTGGCATTGAATGAATGACTGCATAATAAATACAGAAATAAATACAATTTCAAAATCTTTTTTTTTCTTGACTCCTAATCTGGCTAGCGACCTCCCAAGGGGTCTGGGGGGCCGCCTAAAATAGGCAAATGAAAAACATTTGGACAAAACAAGAAATAAAAATACCAATAAAAAAAAATCAGCAACACAAGAAATTGTTGGAAAAAACAATCAGTAAGCCGCTCCAAGTGTTGCTGTCCTGCACCTTTCCCAATGCTTTGATTCCCCAGCGCATACAGTGGGAGGCTCCCCACCCAACATCCAACACCCCCCTTTTTTTCCTCTTAATCCATTTATTTGATTGCACTAATTCATCACTATATCATTCTTTTTATTTCACTCAAGAACATATGCATTGAACGCCTATTCATGACATACTCATGGGGGTGGCAGTAGCACAGTCTGCAGGGACTTGGACTGGGAGCAAAAGAGTCGTTGGTCTGGTAGCTGGAGTGGTGCCAGTTCACTTCTTGAGCTCTGCCGAGGTGCCCTTGAGTAAAGCCTCCCCCCTCCAGCTCAGGAGCACTCTGTGGGCAGCCCCCCCTCACTCTGACATCTCTCCATTAGTGCATGTCTTTACTCAATAGTCATCATCTCTCTTCGTTACCCTGTCACATTTTTATTTATGTTCCTGTACAACACTGGTTTTGCACAATCAAAACAAAAGCAAGTACAATTTTCAGGGGGAATATTTAAGGTGTGTAATTGCACATCGTATTATATTTTGTGTATTCAAATCCTGAGACATACTTCTGAAAGAAAAATACCAAAAAGCCTTTTGAATTTAATTCAGTCTAAATTGTTTAACCCATAAATATTTAAAACAGTTGTGATTAGCAGAAAGTTCACAATCTCAAGAGATATAAGCCTGTTTGTTCATGGGTAGCTTTGAACTGGTTACACACTCTGCTGTTGATGTTTGAGTATCTTGTTTGGCACCTGCAGCTACTGTTAGCACTGTTTGTCCCTGATAGTCCGTAAAGGTAATACTTGCTTTTTTAATGTGTATAAACACACATTCAGGCACACGTTAGGTCATAGATCATTTATTCATTCCTTTGTGTCACAAACAGTCCCTGAATTCAAGACAAATGGCTTTTTATACACTTTGTGAAGTTGTTTTTGTGTACTTCTTCTATAAAATACATGGTTCTTTAATATACTTTTCATCTAAAAACTGTAGAAAACCCTGGTCTGACCTGCTCGCTTGTACAACTGTAAAGGAAGGAAGCCGCTCTCAACCAATCACACACAATCACAAGCATATGAACACATTCAAAACTGCTCGTCTTAATCCAGTACAAGAAACGATGTGAAAAAAAAAAAAATCACAAAACTACAGTGGGTAAGCTTCCTCTGAGAGAGAGAGAGACACACAGACACACAGACACACAGACACACAGACACACAGACACACAGACACACACACACACACACACACACACACACAGGAATAAGTAAACCCAGGCTCAGAGGACAATCTGTTTACAGGTACATAAGAGCTACAGGTGTTGAAGGGTGATGATCAGGACTGACACTGGGCGCTCTATGGGGCACGTTGGACATGTAGGTGGACTTGAGTTCAATTCAATTTGATGATCCAAATGTTTGCTGTTGTCGTGAGTGAAAGTAACATAAAAACTCTTTATCTGGACAAGAGGAACTCAACCTATGGAATAAGAGAATACACTTCAATAACAATTAACTTACAAGCCTAGAATCCTAACATTATAAACAGAGAGCAGCAAATGTGTCTTTGTTGTCTTAAGTGCTCATCAAGAGAAAACCTACCATGTGTCAACCATGGCAAGAAAGTACACATACTGTACATCCTGTATTCCAGAAGAGTCCGGTGTGGTCTGAAACTTAATCTGGGCCAGCTCTCTCTCTGTCTCCTTGTCCAGTCACACCCTTTATAAAGGCTGGATGTGTGTACACAGTGCTCATGTTCGGGGGCATCAACCATCACCATTTTAATGAAACCATCTTCTCATAGTCTCATCGTGACAAAGGATCAGGTCAGACAAAATGAACCCCTACAGGGGTCCAAAAACAAGAGGTATGGTATTTATGGTCCAATAAAAGGCAGTCACATCAGGCTGACTAAGAGAAAACGCCCCGTCTCTTTTCCTCCTCTTGCTCTACAGGGCCTGGTCCAGCCTCTGGTACCTTTAAAATTACACATTAAACTTCAAAACTAAAGCAAAGGGACTCCCACTCCACCAGACTGGTCAGAAGAGATGCAAGGTGGTAGTGGTGGAGGTTTCAGGCAGGGCTGTTTCCGCTGTGAGGTCGGTTGTTTTGGCTTCAATGATCTCTCAAGTGTCCACCACTGGTCCCATGGAGTCCTGCAGAGGGCTCTCCAGAATGGACGAGCTGTCAGGGGCGGGAGGGTGAGGGGAGCAAGCTACCCCTGTGTTGCCCGCGCTACAGCCCATGCAACCCTGTGAGACGCAAAAAGTACATGCTCAGATATGCAGCGTGATATACAGCAAATATGTTTGTTTACACATCCTCACCTGTGTGTCTATCTCCTGTGGGAGTGTGTGCTGTTTGATCCACGGATGGACATCAGCCAGCTCCTCTCTCTGCTCCTGGGTGAACCACGGCTGGAGGGACCGAAGCACCTGAAGCTTCTCCCTGTCTTCCGCCAGCACCTCATTCTGATCCCTGGAGGAGAAGGAAACACAAGACACAAGGTAAGAGGTTAGATGCCATAGGGACGGTGTAGAGAGGAAGCAGAGCAAATCTTAAGAACATTGCACTAATAAAACAACACAACAAAAATAATCCACATGGCCAGAAGAGGGCATTGAACACAAACTTTTTTTCCTTTATTTAAACAAACAAGTACAATTGCTAGAAAATATCTTTGGATACACAAAATGAGAGATGAATACACCAAGTTGTATACCAAAAAGAGTCTTAATAATACAAGGTATTTAGAATAGGCCTTGACAACTGTCTAAATCTAAATGTATGTTTCCCCTCCACAGAAGATGATGACTTTCAATGCAAGTCATCATCTTAACTACAAAAAAAAGAAGATATTTCATGATTTGCTCTGTGTGGGTTTACATTTTTTAAGCATTTTGGGTTTATAGCCTCCTCTCAATGAGTAGCGCGATTAGCGAAGAGTAGCGCTGTCTGTGTACCTGGGGTGGATCTGATACGTCATCATGACACGCTCAGGCGTGTGCTGGATCATGCTCCACAGGGAGTTCTCCAACTGAGTGTCGAAGCTGTGCTGGTGCTCTGCCGGGGACTCCTGGCTCTTGCGGGCTTTGCGTGATGTGTCTGATGAGTCGTTGCTGGCAAAGTATTTGCTGCTGTTGCTGCTGCCTGTAAGCAAAAGGGGGCTCTGCATTAGTCACTAAAGCATAATGTTATGTCTTTTACACTACCACGTTTTGGAACAGTGTTTGATTATGTGGGTTTAGTTTCTGAATGTCTTTATCCTCCTTACCAGTGAGTGAGGTGGAGGTTCCATTGGAACCAGATCCAGATCCCAGGGAGCCTCCTGACTCCCCTGACCCAGAGCCTGAGGCATTAGAGCCGGTCCCTGACCTGGCATCCTCCTGCAGCAGAAGGTCAAGCAGCTCACTGGATGTCGACTGGGTATCATGGTTTCCAGACTCACTGGGGATATCACCCTAAAGAAGGTAGAGTTTTAGAGGTCAGAACCAAAAATAATACTTGTGCTGTGAATACAATGACAGAGATGTGTACTGTACAAATATATATATACTGGGTACTGATAACAATGCATTCACATTTTGTTTCAAGAGAGAAGCTAAGGTAAAAAGAAAGCAGCAGACTCACCTTGTCGGCATGTTGTTCACGGAGGCTTTCTGCATAGTTGTGCCCTGTGCTGCTCTGTCCTTCGCTCGGTTTTGGCAGCTCCTCCTGAAGCAGGTTCAGCTGCAGAGGGGAACTGGAGCGGGAGCTGGAGAATAAAGCCCGAGGTTCAGCTTCCAGCTCCTCCTCCCCAATAGAGGAGCTAGCTCTGGGTGAGCAAAGTATAGGGCCCAGGGAGGTCTGGGAGGTTTGGGGGACTGGCTGGGATTGGAACTGGGTCGGAGGAGGGAAGGGGGTAGTTCCAGGGGCAAAGCCTGCCATGGAAATGGGTGCCTGAGGCAGCATGGAAGAAGAGGATGGTGGGTAAATGGGGGGGAAACCTGAAGTGAAAGTTGGGTAGTTGGGCAGGATGACGGCCATGACCGGACTCATGTAAGGGCTGATGTTCTGGGTTGGAGCCATGATCTGCAGGTTGTGAAAGTTCTGGATATTCTGCATGTTCTGCATCTGGATGGATTGCATGCCGTGCAGGCTCTGGGGGGGCTGCATGATGTTGAAGTTGTAGTTGAACTGGGTTTGTTCAGGAGTTTGCAGCACCATGGGGGTTGCTCCGGGCAGCTGTTGTGGTAATGGGGGTTGCTCCGGGCCAGGCTGGGTTGCCATCATGGGGAAGAATGATTGCTGGAGCTGGGCCGCTTGACTGTAGGGCACCCCCAACTGGGGTTGGGAGGATTCAGAGGAGGGCCAAGAGGAGTGTGGGACACGGCGAGGTGGGCCTGGTGGGGAAGCGTAGCTGTCTGAGGAACCCTGGGGTTTGGGACGCTTGTGTCTGGACATTCCTCTTCTGGGGCGGTTCAGTCCACCAGCACTTAAAGGACGAAGGTAGTCGCCTGTAGTGAGAGGGACACAGGATGAAGACTAAGGGTCTATACAATGTCCCAAAAAATACCCCCATGTCATGTCCTATCTAGTTTAATTGACCTTGATGAAAAATGTAATTGTGGGTCATATTCTCTCCTCTTCTTTCATAAAAAAAATGGGCCGCTGTATCTTTTGCCAAAGGAGTGACGATTACATGTCGTCTGTCCCGTCCATAATGAAATACATACCTGGGTGGTGTGAGTGAGCCTTAGAGCTGTTGTCAAGCTGCAGATAGGAGCTGTAGGGGCTCTGCAGGATGCGATTGCGAAATCGATCCACATATTCTTGTTCCTCTTTCTGGGTGTGCGCTGACAGCACCTCCTTGGTGAGACCTACGAACCTTGGTTCCTCTGTGGCGAGGCTTGGGGTCAGACGGACGGGGGTTGGAGCAGCATCAGCAGGCTCACTGCCCATCGGGGCATCCTCCAGTGCTGTAGCCTCTGTGAGAAAACAGAACAATAAAGTATAAAGAAGATGACACTTCATCCATCTTAATGATGTTTTACATCTATGGCTGTTAAGTGATGGCATTTTTTAATCGGGATTAAAATGTAATTGTTAATTCCAACTAATTGCAAGCTTAATCACGTGTTTGAAATTACATAATTTTGCATGCATATGTTGTTGTTTTTTTTGTCTTAAGCGAAGAGTGTTTTACTTCCTGTACGGATACAAACCTGCTTTTATTTTTAAAGGAAACAAGGAAATAGTTGAAGAAGAAAGGTTACAGCATTAACTTCACCATGAAAAAATAACTTATTGCTGATCAAAAATCCAAAGAGGACAGTAAAAGAGTGAAATGTTTGATGTCACATGGTGGATGTTACTTTTGACTCATCAACTGAGCCATCTTGGAGATTTTCAAAGTGAAATAAGCCATTTCTCTCTTTTCCATCACTGCACCTACAGAGATACGCTACTGTCAGTGCAGAGCTACAGTGCGCCTACAGGGAAAAAGTAGCTAGTGATCAATGCATTACTTAAGTAGCTAGTGATCAATGCATTACTTAAGTAGCTAGTGATCAATGCATTACTTAAGTAGCTAGTGATCAATGCATTACTTAAGTAGCTAGAGATCAATGCATTACTTAAGTAGCTAGTGATCAATGCATTACTTAAGTAGCTAGAGATCAATGCATTACTTAAGTAGCTAGTGATCAATGCATTACTTAAGTAGCTAGTGATCAATGCATTACTTAAGTAGCTAGTGATCAATGCATTACTACTTTTCTTATTCAGAAAGTGCTTAAAAAACAACAGTTACAATAATTCCTCATTATAACAATGTGTAATAAGGATTCGGTATGAAGTATCTGTTACTACAAAACTTAGTACAGAAATGTTACAAACACAAAACAGAAATGTTTCTGTAGTGAAAAACGTGTGCTGTATTTCTGAATGGGGATGTTGAACTTGCAACCGATGCACACCATTGATTTAACACTGGCTAAACCTTTACCTTTCGTTAAGTGAAAAAGGCGCAACAACACACAGTGATCATTGAGCAATCCGTGGTTCACATGTGAACTGAATGATGTTTACAGGCCTTTCCTCTCCCAATACATCCTTAAAAAAAAGGAATCCAAGGATTTCCTCTAAAATGAATTTACCACCACATGGAACTGACAAGTCGCATGTTTCTGCCATGATCTCACACATTGATCCAAGTGTATGGTCAAGTACCTGATTCAGGCTGTGGCACATGAACGATGGTGCTGCTGTACGAACACTGGCTGGTGACAGACACTACACTCATGGCCTTTGTTGACATTGTAATGTCTGTCAGAGGTGCTCCAACAACTGCTGCTGATGTAGGGGCCACTGACACCCCACTGTCCAACACCACTGTGCAACAAAATGAAATCAGTTATTGTGACTTCTTTAACGAATCTAACAAAATACATATTGTGTAGCCGGTGTGGAAAGGTGTGGTGATTGTGGCGTGTTTATACCATCTGAGCTGGCCTGGGCTGTGTCTGTGGCTCCAGCAGGCTTGTCATCATCTGAGGAACAGGATGAGGAAGAAGATGTGGCTAGGGAATGAGAGTCACTCTTCCGCTTAAGGGCTGGCCCTGTGCAGCTCTCCAAATATCTATAAACACATAAACATAGACAAACACAATTAACAGCATGCTAGAGGTTCAGTAGGGTGGCTGTGGCTCAGTTGGTAGAGTCGTCCCGCTCCCGCTGCTTCAGTGGTGGTGTATGAATGGATTAGTTACTTCTGAAGGATGATACTACATAGTGACCACTACCATCAGTGTGTGAATGTGTAGGTGTGACCTGCAGTGTAAAAGCACTTTGAGTAATCAGAAGACTAGAAAAGCGCTTTATGAGCTCAAGTTCATTTACCATTCAGTTTATTACTGTAAAATCTAGAATATAAGTCAGAAACACCGAAAGAAAAAAGGTTTAAACTGTCTTCCTTAGTGACGATTCCTGTTGTGTTCAGTGAAGTCACACAATGTGCAGTTTGTGTTCAGCTCTGTCGCTCTTTAGGTGCCATCTGCTTTTGCTTTGTGGAGTTTGCACTCCTACAAGCTACAGTACGGTAGTTGAACTCTGAGCCTTACGTTAAAAGTTGTGAAGTACCGACACACAGCTTGTGAGTCGCGCTGCCCGACTCCACTGGTCACTCATTAACTTTAATATAGGACCCTTTCTCTCAATAGAGCGCTACACAAGTATTCCTGAACAATATGCCACCGTTTGCTAAAAATGCATGAGGGAGGGAGAAGAATGGTAAAAAAGTAGCACAGCCAGCCAGATCTGTGTCGCTGTGTATCCCAACAGCTTGCAATCAGTTTACAATACACAATGTATGGGGATTCATTTACAATCTGGCTGCACTCGTGGTAACGACAGCGTGTGTCTGCATTTTATACCTGTATGCACAGATGTTTAAGACACAGCCAACTTTTTAGATGAAAAAAAAAAAAAAAGATTTTCAGTTATGTGCTAAAACACCCAAAATCTAACAGGGGCTGGATGATGGTCCCTCCACACACCTGATAATGTTGTCCACACAGTTGATCTGCTGATAGGAGGGGATGTGTGTTTGCTTCCTCTCCTCTTCATGATTTCTCACCTCAGGGTTGGTGGTTGTGGGGGGAAGTACTCCTGGGACAGAAAATTGGGAATTCGTATTTTATTTTTCACATTATATTAAGTTTTTTTTTCTTCTTAATATTAGTGTCTGCCTTACCTTTCGTAGGTTTGCAGAGAAGAGCATTTTTGTGGCTGGAGCCCGGACAGGCTTGCTGCCCCCAGCTCTTGACTCTGTTGACGTCGGCACAGATCTGCTGCAGAGTCATCTACAATAACACACACACACACACACACACACACACACAAAATTAACCTCTGCCCCAGGGGTGACTGCTGGTTTCCCCCTGCCTGTGACCTCACTGTGATGTCTCACCGGCTCTCTGTGCGAGTCCTCCCACATGTTACCATTGCTGTCACTTGAGGAAGCTACACTGATGTAGTGCTCATGAGAGCCATTACTTCCCAAGCTGCCGTAACCACTGGACCCGTTGTTGTGGACCGGCTGTGGAGAACAGACACAAAGAAGTGAAGAGAAAAAAAAAATAAAGTTAATAAAAGAGTGCCACACAATTCTCAAGACCAAATGTTGTAGGAAAGAAAAAAAAATAGATTTTGATGATGATAATGATTTTCATGTAAATGAGCTAATCTTAGTATTTATGGAGCTTTAAACTGCCATCTTTAATCTTTTTACCGATAAATGATGTTACATATTTGAAAATCTTTTTTTTTCAGTTCTAGCTTGATGACCTGCAGGAAAAGCTTGTAGATCTTTGATTGTAGATCTTTTATGTCCTCGTGTGTGACCAGGACATCGTCTTTGTTCCGAGCAGCGAACACATCCTCATTCAGGGGACTCCTGGAGACAAAAGAAGGAAAACACAGGGATGTTGTCTTTACCATGACATCATTTATTGAATCAGTCTCTTAGCAACTGCTTTTGTGCAACTTACGTCCTGACTTTATGCCGTCCAATGATGAAGGCCACCTTGCGGCTCCAAGGGTTGATGAAGCTGGACCAGCTGGTGTCCAAGGTGATGTGGTCTCCGTTCTGACAGCGCAGACGCACCGGAGAGTGTTCGAACGGAGACTGGCCAGCATACTTTAACACTGTGCAGGATGAGAATGAGAGAGAGGGGTGAAGATAGAGTAAATGACTGATCAGTCATTACAAAGACTGGAGACAACCTAAAACTTTTTTTTAGTGCTACTGTTAATATAATTAATAAAATGTTTAGAATATTTATTGTCAAAATACATGACAAACTTCCAACTCAATAAGTTGAAATACAAAAAAATACACCTTTGCCCTCCTTGAACACTTACCTTTCCGATGCATCGACAGCATTAAGGGGCGGTCGTCCGGGTGAATGCATGTCAGCAACGACGTGCCAATGAGATCCTGAGGAAGGTATCCTAGCAACGGCACAGCCCTGTAGATAGCACCATCACATTTGTTTCATCAAAACACTGACGCTGAAGCTCGTTGTGTAAACTCTGACTGTGGACATGTTTGTGTGTGCACTGACCTGTCATCGACTTCCAGGAACACACAGCCAGGAGAGTGAGTGGTGGTGAAGATGCGCTTGTCCAACGGGATCCGAGGTGCTGCATGGAAGGATCATAACAATGTCACAGCGAGGTCAGCAGGACAATTAAAGTCTAAGTGCATGAACGTTTTTTCATATTGATGACTAAATAGCAAAGGTAAGAAGGGATATTAAATGAAGTCATGATAAAGATTTGATCACCACTTTCTGAGAAAACATGCTTGTCCAAACTAAAGGATAAAACAGTAAGAATTTAAGTCAGTCAGTTCACAGTTTAAGTGTGTGGTGCAATGGTTGTACCCTCATATCCAGATATAATTCGCTCAGCAAGCGCCAGGCAGCACGACTCCTCCTCCGCCCCACCGCTTGCTTTCCCCTGCACCTTCAGCAGGTAAGGTGTTATCCGAAACGGGTTGTAACGCATCTCACCGTCACAGTCCTTCCCACCCCTACAAAATTGACAGAAGACTTAATATCTAACATTATGTGTGATTTATACCAACAGCTTTGACTAAACTATTATCAGAGAGAAAGAACAAATGCAGACTACAGCCATGTATACATGTTTCAACAATAAAAGTAATCAGTCAAACCAAGCAAACTTGTTTTATCCTTACATGTGTGGCTATTCCCATTCTCAGACTTCAACTACTGGTAAAGATGGCTCAAATCTGTTTAATCTCACGGTATTCTGAGCAATTCCAATTTTCTCTAAGAGATTTTAGCTCTTTGGAATGCATGAAATAAGGAGAATCATTATGAGTTTAGAGACAGAAAATATACTGACCTGATTCTGCAAAAGAAAGACTTGACCTGCGCACAGTCAAACAGAACCCCTGCTGCGGACACCAAACAGAGGACACTGAGGTAAGTATGTGACATTTTTAAACTCTCTATTTTTTCTACTATAAATCACATATCAATAAATGAACAAAAGTATATTTTATGACAAACACAGTTGAGTATAAAAACGCAATTGAATAAAGCGTAATATTTAAATCTGTTCAAAGATAATCAACGTGATCCAAACACACCTGTGTGCGAGTTGCTCCAGGGAGGCAGATGTGGCTGAGCCGTGTGGGAGTAGAAGACGTTAACATCTTGGTGAAAGAGCAGCTCCACAAACTTGGCCGACTCCAGGAACTTTCTCTTGCAGCAAAGGATGCTGGGAGCTTGCTCCGAGGCGTACAACACTCGGCCGCTCGACAGGGAGAACACCACCACAAAGGAGTCCTGCACAAGGAAACGGAGACACGCGCGCACACACATGTAGAAGGACACAAACACATACACAAAAGCCAAGACACACACGCACACGCACACGCGCACGCACACACGCACACACACACGCAGTGAACACACACTCACAAACACATGCCCGCCCGCCCGCCCACCCAGGCGTGAGGCAATAATGATTGTGGATGCATGAAAGAGAGTTTGCCTCTTTACGACTATGAAACCATTTAGAGAAAGATAAAAACATTTCCTCTAAAGTGACTATTAGGGATGCAACAAAAAACAACAACTAATAATTAAACAAGCAGTTTGATAAACCTCCATTTTTTATCAAAAGTGCTTTTTATTATCTCAGTAAAACTAATGAAATGAAAAATCAAATTATTCTTCATTTAATTTATATAAAATCAAATCACGGCTCAAATCAACTCAATCATGTCCTCATCACACATAAACACTTTTTCATGAACTATGTTTGATAATGTTGTAGTGTATTGATACAGTATGTGATTATGGCTTTGTTGTTGTGGTGTATTGGATATATGTTGCACGCACTATGTTGTAGTTTTTAAAGTCGAGTGCTCTGAGCCTATTATTGTTTTAATATAATATATGAATTTCACTATGGACTAGTGTAATGCCATTGTTCAGTGGTTGTGTATTGTCTTACTGTTGTGATGATGTTGTTAGTGTATGTTTTGTTTTTTCACAGAGACATTGTCTCTGTCTCCTGCCCAGGGACTACAGATGTAAATTAGCTTATATCTAACTCTTGTACAGCTAATTGGCTGTACACTGTCCCTGTCAAAATAAACAAAAATAAATAAATAAATAAAAAGCTGCATCATATCAACAACAGCATTCGTTACCAAACCAATAGCAAAGCCCATTAAGAGGGCTACGCATGTACTCATAGAACTGGAGTTACATCCAGTAACTGAACACAGCCCTCTGTAACAGAGTTGGTTTGAAGCTGCGCACAACAACAGGCTCTTACTTGACTGACGATAAATTTCTGATTGTTGTCACCTGTAACCACCGGCTGATACCTGTCTGACACAGACACGCTGCAATGAAACGGAGAAAAGTCCAGAACCATGGGGGTCTGTTCTGACAGAGCATCAGACAGCACCTGGGGCTGCTTTTGGAATCTCATATGAGGATTTTTAATCTATTTGTTGTTGTTTTTCAACGCAGTAGTTAAGGTGGAGGGCGCGTGTTGTTAAGGCGGCTGCCTCAACTATAAAGCGCTGCAGGAAACACTGATATATATATATTTTAAAATACTGTTATGTCTTCATATTTGAACAACGGATCCGCATAGCACTACTTAACACACTACCTTCTTCTCACTGAGACTAAACACCATAGACCATGAAGGTGTACGAATGGAAAAACTCCTCAGAATTGAATATCAAAAAAAAAAACACTCAAAAGGCTCGAGCCGTCAGAACCGAACTGAAAACTGTAACCAAAAAAACCAAGGTAGGTATTGCTCCGTGGGCTGACTGTATTGTTGCACCCCTAGTTCATATCATGCAAATGATTCTCTAATATCTTTGTTCAGTTGTGTGTGTGTGTAGCAAGTTTATCAAAACTACTTTTTCTTATTATGATCATTATGAATATTAAAATGGTAATGTACAGCCACTGCTATACTCACACCCTCAGGTTAAATATTTTCATTGGTAATGTCTAATCCCTTAGTTCTTAAATATCTTCTTCCACCTATCATCTGTGATAAACATGTAAAACCTTTTTAAACTTGTTTTTAATAAACAAAATCTATTTCACCTGGAACGCTGTTTCCATTTCCTATCATTCAACAAGATTTATTCTAGTGATGATAATGATAATGGTGGTGGTCATTGTAACAGTGATGATAGTAGTCAAAGTATTATTCACTGTTGTAATTTAAATCATAATTGCTCTTATGTTAGAATTATTATTTAAACTTTTATTTTTAACAGTATTATTAGTGGCAGTAGATATAGTAGTAGCACTATAATAATTATTATTATTGTTATCATTGTTATAGAATAGTAAATTATACTTTTAATTGTTATTATTTATATTGTTATTATATTTGTTAACCTTGTTACTATAACTTTCATTGTAGTTGTTTCTGTTATTTTAACGACTACTTTTTCCATTTTTACCTTTGAAGGTTTAAGGCAGTCACTAAAATAACTTTTTTTTCAATCCTTTTAAAATTTCAAACCTGTTTTTTTATTTCTCTCTTCTTTAGATTTTCAGCGAATCATCTACTTCTCCTTTCCTAAGATCAAAATTATACGATTAAATTTTTATGAGGACATGGAGGCAGTTAAAAAAATTTCTTTTTTCAACATATTTTTCCTTTACCAATTGTCTTTTACTTTCCTATTTGAATTACTCTACTCCACCCCTCCCGCACACTCACTCACTCACTCACTCACTCACTCACTCACTCACTCTCCTCTTGTCCAGCCTGATCAACCCTCTTCCAAAAACTGGGTTAACACACTGCTTCACTCACTCACTCATTATTCATTAGGGAGGGGCAATAGAACAACAACATTAACAACAATACTAATAATACTAACATCAGAAACCATGTCCTGACAACCAATTTGTGTGCCTTGAGGGAGGGGGCTCCCTTCCCTTTGGGTCTCGTGCCCCCCCACCAACATGTACACACCTACAACTAGCTGGGCCCTGCAGTTTTCCCTGGCCGGAAAGACACCATTGGTTCATCATTCTCAGCGCCCCCTCCCACCATATCATCAGCAGTCAAGCTCCCGTCTGAAAGCCTTACACCAGCTACCAACCCCTCACCCTCACCCTCAACCCCACACCGATCACCTTTCACATAACTACAAATCCACCCATTCATAGACACTTATTCATACATCCCCCTTCTCATTTTTTTCTAGTCACCTTTTTGAAGGCAAACACATTGTTTAAAGTTTAAAAGTTTTTTTCGTTTTGCTGTCTGATTATTACACAACTGTCTTAACTGTCCTCCCTCACCTTGGTGTGAACTGTACTGCACTTGCTTTCACCTTTTTTCACAAAAAAGTTTACAAAAAAAGCAAAAGAATCAGTCACTGCAAGTTCTGTGTGTGTGTGTGTGTGTGTGTGTGTGTGTGTGTGTGTGTGTGTGTAAATATATGTACCGTGTTTTTAAGGGTGTGTTCAGAAGTGACTCTCTCCAGCTCTTCCAGGGTGCAGACGGTGGCATTGCTCCTCTCATCCTGGCTATTTCTCATCAGCAGTTTGTAGTATTCACTGTTGGCTACAGATAAACACAAACACATATACTGTATTAAAACAACAAAAAAGGAAATCAGGCTTATGGAGAAAAGTAATGACATTACTCTGAAATAAAGGCTTAAAAAGTGAGAGGCCATGTTACCTTGCACCTGCTTGACACAGTTGAGTGCATAATGTAAGGCCTCCACTGTGCTAGCTTTGCTGCGGCTGCGTTTGTCTGATGGTAGTCTCTTCTTCATCTCTGCCACTGTGAGCATCATCTCTCTGTGGGTCTGGCCTTTGCCATCAGCTGCATTCTCACTGCTACAAACACACACATTTGTAAGGTTTTACATTGTTGAATGTGGTGGCAAACAAAATAACTATAAGCACAAATTTAAAATAAGTAACTGTTGGTGCAGACATTTCAAGTGTGCTGGTAGTTTTCACTCCAGATACATGGCACTTAAAAAATACTGAATTATTCTTCTCTGGTGTTTAGTTTGGACTTTTTTTTTTTTAACAGAGTGGCAGTTCATAAATGAACCATTTAGTGCTTTACAAACTATACTGCTTCCACATCAGTTTTCAGAAACAATTTGTGGCTCAATTTTGACCTTCCATGATTAATGTAGCAACATGCCATTGTGGTTTTCCTTTGTAATCTGCAGCATTGTGTTTAAAGGCTTTATATGTGATTTTTCACACTTAAATATAATATAAATCAAGTATATCCTCTAAAAAAAAAAATAACTCTGTGAGCCATGACTGTCTACAATGGGTGTAACACCTGAGTCCCACTGTCTGTGATGTTTTCAGAGTCCTATCTTCACTTTGTTTACATCGCCTGGACGGCCGGCTGACTCCTCCCCTCGTGTATAAAAGTTGTTTAATTGAGGGACTAGAGAAAAGAAGAATAACATACTGTACTCACTGCTTAACTGTGTTTCTAGATCACGCTCATTTCAGGTAAATTTACATGCAGTGTGAAGATACCAGCATAATAAAGATCGCTAGCATTAGCATGCTAACACAACAATGCAACACGAGTTGTTTTGGTTTCATGCTGGTGCTCAAGGGCGACATCTGCTGGATTAAAAAAATCACATATAAAGCCTTTAAGGTTTACCTTTAAAACAGATGGTAATAACAGTCATCTGGTTAAACATCAGACTTGCTTATAACCAGTAAGATGATCTGAGGGGTTCTGAGTCTTGTTCAAGTGACTGTTGTATTCAGAGTTTTTAGCTATATCTTTGGCTTGAACAATGTTCTAAGAGAAAAAAACAGGAAGACTAAAACATAAATGAAAATAAATGTGACCTTCACTGTTTGCAAAATGTGTCAAAATTTTGTTTGTAGAGTTTTATATTCATACATTTAAAGCGTCTGTTGTTAAATGCCGAGGTGCATTTGAAAACTTTGTGCTAACACGTGAATATACTGTATGTCAATTGAGGCTACATCAAACAGGAAATACCTCTTGGTTGAAGCTGAGATGGATCCTGTGGCACAACCAGGGCTGTGATTGGACGACAGAGAGAGGTCATTTGATCCGCTAGTCATCTCCTCGTCATCCTGCCCCACTTCTCCACCTGAAGATCGGCTTTCCTCCCCTCTGAGGCGCTGTGATTGCTGCCCTGACAACACCCTCCCTCCACTTTCTCCTGCAGCTGACTGTAACACAGGGTCCTCCCCATCAAGATTGATGTCCCCTCCCGGCATCGCCACTCTTTGCTCGCACATCAGTGGCAATTTGTCCATTCCCGGTGATCAGTGAAGGTCTTCATATGTTCAATAAGGTGAATGGGTTCCATGTGGGGACTATGATTTGGTGTGCATTCATTAAGTGCTGAATGTTGAATGTAAAGACTCTCCTTTGACACTGGAAAACAACGAGAAAAAAGGAGAGATGATGAACAGTGTCTGTAGAATTGCAGCGTTAAATTTACAACATGGAATAACTAGCAGCTGGACTTTACCAAGCAGCTAATTTAACACTGAGGTGGGACCACCGTGATGGAAAAAAAAAAGAAAACTGATCTGTACACAGGGTTAAGCCACATTAAGATCTACTTTTACATTTAAATTGAAAGTTATTTCAAAGGCAATAAAGCCTGCCAAAAAAGGAATGACACATAGCTGGATTGCTGGTGGTTTGTTCACACAGCAGCGACCAGAGAGTGAGTCTGTCGAAATGGAAACCTGAAAGCCTTAAATGAGGTAAAGATCAGGTCATCCCCTGATGACAAAGAACAAGTTAGGACTTATTTTACCCTTTAAAGAGACGCCAATTGAGAATTCTGTTAAGGTCTGAACAGGATTTTAAAAGTCTCTCCTAAACATTACTTATTGAGATAAGGCAGCAGCTTGCTTTACTAAGCGCAAATATTCTTAACCATCAAAATATGCAGTGCTAGTAGGTTTTCACATGTTTTATGAAAAGAGTAGACGACATGTCCTGGAAAAGTCATGGAACAGCATTTTAAGGTGTCAATCACAAGATGTTATCATCTATTTCAGGGGGTTGTATCAGGGACAGCTCTGTCTGTGTGCCTTTAAAATGTTGGAAGAGGCAACAAAAAAAAGCAACATATTAAAAAAGCTTAACCTTGTATCAGAATTACAACTGAAATACTGGAGTTTTAAAGAAAAACAAACTTGTTTTTGACCTATTTTGACACAGGACACATAGTTGTGAAATAAAAACAAAGACACAGATAAAATGTTTGGTACAAACACGCAATGTTGTTCAATCTCAAATGTGAACAAACACAATCTGCCTTGTTATCTAATACTATCGGACTGCCTGACCATCACACTGACTCATCTACGATTTACACATATGAGCACATTTTATCCATCAATACTGCCAGCACCAGGACACAACTCTGCCAAATGGCAGTCTTTACACCCCAACAAAGACCACAGTAATACTGTGATAATCTACAGCATGATAGCTGCTGCCAGACGAGACATTTCCCTCAGCTTTCCTCCAAATGAAATGGAGCTCAATTCCTCTGGAGGCTTGGCAAGTAACACATCTTATTTCATTTTCAAAAGGTCTTCAATTTATACTTGGTATTTATTTTTTAATACAGCTGTTTTCAAACTTAGCATATCATAATATTAATGCTAAGCATTCCACTCTCTCTTACAAATTTAGTTTTTTCAGCATGAAGACAAAATTCTGAGGACAGGTTCAGTAAGACACAGAGAAAGAAAGAGACACATTGAGAGGTGAGTGTGGAGCCGGCAAAAAATATCCTGCGTCGTTCAACTGTTCGTCACTGAAGGATTACATAAACAGCTTGCTCAATTCGGGAGCATGTAAGCCATCCTCCTATTATACCTGTTACATACGTGTGTGCAGCACACAGACGCAGAGCCAGGATTACTACGCTGTAGGTCTGATGCTCTGGCTGAATCGTACAGCACACAAACAGAGGTGATAAAGCCATGCTAAGGTCAAGGCACGCAAGGTTATTAATCTGGACTTTTATCCCCCACTTGGTTCACTGAACCACTTATAGCAATGACATGAATTCACTACTACTCATGAATTTATTTACCTGTAATTTGACACTGTAAATGGCTTTCGATGTGTATAGTTACAGGAGTACAACCTCTCTTATATTTATAATGAATAAATATGAATGGTTTTAGAAACACACACTTTTAATCAATGAATTTAACCGTTGAATCACACATATAGCAATTCTACAATCAAAACAAGGACAAAAAGCTGAAAATAAATATCTGAACAGATCCTGACTGTAGTCTACCCTACTTGTATATGTAGATTGTAGATCAATATGTCCAAACACTATTGTTAAAAAACAAGTTATCAAAGCTATTTTAATAATTATGGGCTTACAGTGTAGCAAACAAGTTTATCTGTGTTCACCCATTCTGTAAAAAATTAACTACATATTTGCTGAGTTTTTATTTACAGTTTGCACTTGTGTTTTAATGGTAAGGCAAAAAAGTCACAAGATAATTCTTTAAATTACCACCAATTCCACCAATACCTGGTGGAAGGACTAGTCTAACCGCAAATTGTTCAGTCAATAGCACAAGGCAATCATGACAACATTTCTTTACGAGTACAAAAAAAATCTTACAAGATTTCTAGTGCCATAACCTTTATGATTCCTGTGTTTTACAACATAAGGAAAAATAAAAGAAAAAAAAACTGTGTGTACAGTACTCCAAGAACCACGAGTGGTTGATCTTTGATTGTTTTCCAGTTAACTGAATAATTGATCTATACTGGATATCCTTTTTCTGTCTTATTGGGTGGAAAAAGAGTGGAGGAGGTATTCAAAAAGTTGAAAAATTAATCTTACAGATCATCTCAGACACTCAACTAACACAACACTAATACCATCAAATTCCTGCCAATACGGAAGTGAAAGCCTGGCAGGATATACATCCCCAGGCCGATCACATTATGAGATCATAATATTATATAATAACATTCAGTCTAACAACATATAAACTTGGTCAATCTCCATGTTAAAGTTCACATTAAGCTGTCCATGGGCCATTAAGTAAGATTAAGGTTAAAACAGGGTTAACTGACGTCTGATGACAAGTTAATTTAGTAACAATATGTACGAGCTTGAGTTACATACTGCCATAAATAATACCCTGAGCCTGCCATGAAGCCACAAAACCGATTAAGATTATCAATACAACAACAACAAAAAACATGCACGAATACAGCTGGTATGAAATAGGATTTAAAGTCAATACTGACACCGTGTTTCTTGCTTCCAACAACTGGAAAATATAAAGCTTTCCAGACTGCAGCAACAGCCCCAAGCCCACTCCAACTAAAAACAAACCTGACCCTCATAATGGTTCACTGAGGCCCCACATGAACCCAGTAACCTCACCACTGAACATTTAAAGGCTTAGAGGAGAAGCATCTGACCTTACTACTATTACTACGAGAAAAGCACAACAGCCAATACGAAACTAGAAGAATTGCGTTTCAATTTTCCACGAATCTGGACATTGAACTACTTTGTATTGACACATTATAAACTAAATTAAAACAGGTATTTTATCTGTCCAATAGCAAACCCTTAAAGCTTAAAGTGATTTTAGAGGGTTTTAGGATAAATTGAACTCTATTTACCGTGTAACGTTAAGTGAAAGCTTGTTAAAATGTAAATATTCAAATTAAAACGTAATGAGCAACAGTGTGTTACTATCTGCATCCTCCTGACTTTAAGCAGACATGTTTATATAGCCAGCTATCGTGGGAACAGTACACGGACAACTGCTGCTGTCGGGAGTGGGAGAACAGCTGAAACTTGATAACATGCTAAAAATACAAGAGTATACCAGGACTACAAGAATACAAGACAATGAATACGTTACATGTGTTTACATCCACAGTTTCCTGGTGTTGGTGTTGTGGGCGAGGCGGTTTACTAGCATGTTAGCATAGCAACCACGCCAACGACACTACAAATCTAACAGTCTTCTGATGAAATATTTACCTTTCGATTTCACGCGTGTCTTCGCTTCAGTATTCCAAAAAGTAAATATAATGTTTTTGTTTTCCTTTCTCGGTCGTTTGTTTAAAGTATTTTTATTAATCATGCCCCAGTCACGTAGCTAAATCCTCTTCCATTTCGGAGCGCTTGACACATTTGTGCAACGTGAGGCCGGTAGAGAACTACTCCGCCCACTTCACGCTGATTGGCTAGAGGACTTCTGTATCTGTCGTGTGATTGGATGTTACCCTTATAGTGGGCGTCTTTGAATACGGACTGTTCAGCGGCTTGCTGAAGGTTCACGTGGACCACCATGTTACGCAACAGGGTGACAACAAGCACGACGTAGACTGAGCAAGCACTGACTCTCCACCAACCTGCTGCATTCACAGACCCATCAACGACGGAAACAAATATTTAGTTGCCCTTACATCTGTAAAATGTATTCAGCTGCTTAATTTCAGATGTGTCACATTTTAACGATGGGCAGTTGTTGGCAAGAACTTCAATAAGGCTAAACAACCTATAGGCCTACATGACAAATTCATTTTGCCTAAACCCTTTTCCTCTTAAATAATAATAATAATAATAATAACTTTATTTCTATAGCACCTTTTAAAAACACAGGTTTACAAAGTGCTTTGACAAACAGCAAAAACAAGAACAAACTAAACCAAACACAGAAGAACATAAACAACAGCAAGAACATAACAAATGCAAAATACTAAAAATAATTAAATACAGTTCAACAGAAAAGAACCCAAAGTGCATGATACCCAACAGACATATATAACCAGACCATCACAAGAACCATCATAAGAACCATCATAAGAACCATCACAAGAACCATTATAAGAACCATCACAAGAACCATTATAAGAACCATTATAAGAACCATCATAAGAACCATCACAAGAACCATCACAAGAACCATTATAAGAACCATCACAAGAACCATTATAAGAACCATTATAAGAACCATCACAAGAACCATTATAAGAACCATTATAAGAACCATCATAAGAACCATTATAAGAACCATTATAAGAACCATCACAAGAACCATCACAAGAACCATTATAAGAACCATCACAAGAACCATTATAAGAACCATCACAAGAACCATCATAAGAACCATCACAAGAACCATTATAAGAACCATCATAAGAACCATTATAAGAACCATTATAAGAACCATCATAAGAACCATCATAAGAACCATTATAAGAACCATCACAAGAACCATCACAAGAACCATTATAAGAACCATCACAAGAACCATTATAAGAACCATCACAAGAACCATCATAAGAACCATCACAAGAACCATTATAAGAACCATCATAAGAACCATTATAAGAACCATTATAAGAACCATCACAAGAACCATTATAAGAACCATCACAAGAACCATCATAAGAACCATCACAAGAACCATTATAAGAACCATTATAAGAACCATCATAAGAACCATCACAAGAACCATTATAAGAACCATCATAAGAACCATTATAAGAACCATCATAAGAACCATCACAAGAACCATTATAAGAACCATCATAAGAACCATTATAAGAACCATCATAAGAACCATTATAAGAACCATTATAAGAACCATCATAAGAACCATTATAAGAACCATCACAAGAACCATCATAAGAACCATCACAAGAACCATTATAAGAACCATCACAAGAACCATCACAAGAACCATTATAAGGACCATCATAAGAACCATTATAAGAACCATTATAAGGACCATCATAAGAACCATTATAAGAACCATCATAAGAACCATTATAAGAACCATTATAAGAACCATCATAAGAACCATTATAAGAACCATCACAAGAACCATTATAAGAACCATTATAAGAACCATCATAAGAACCATTATAAGAACCATCACAAGAACCATTATAAGAACCATCACAAGAACCATCATAAGAACCATCACAAGAACCATTATAAGAACCATCATAAGAACCATTATAAGAACCATTATAAGAACCATCATAAGAACCATCACAAGAACCATTATAAGAACCATTACAAGAACCATTATAAGAACCATTATAAGAACCATTACAAGAACCATCATAAGAACCATCATAAGAACCATTATAAGAACCATCATAAGAACCATTATAAGAACCATCATAAGAACCATTATAAGAACCATCATAAGAACCATTATAAGAACCATCATAAGAACCATCATAAGAACCATCATAAGAACCATTATAAGAACCATCATAAGAACCCAGGCAAAACAAGAACCCAACAACACGAGCTGAGACCAAGAGGAGCAAAGATTTAAAAAGATGTAAGAAACTAAAAGAGCTAAAAGCAAATCAAAAGAGAACAGCAATAAGAAGGTAAGAGCAGGAAAAGAAATAATTGTATTATTTATTCTATTATATAAATTGTATTATTGTCAGGGCCAGGGGTCCCCATCTTATGGAAAGTATTCTGGACTGGGTCTGTTTATAACATTGGTCTGAACATTACAGGAGAAAGGTACTCAGGTAAACAAGTGCTTTTGGTAATAAAATACCACATTTATTTTCAGGTCTAGCTATCAGACAGAAGGTCACCCACATACTACAGAATGGAGAGACCTTTGACACACCAATACTTCCTGTCATGGATCACCAACAAAAGAAAAACATTTACGTGAGGCTTTGTGATTTAAGTTCAATCTGTTTTATTAAGCAAAAGGCATTTAGGGACAAAGAGTAGAATTGCACTTATTTCCAGATGCATTCCCAGAAGGTTTACATCAGCAAGGCATGGAAGTAATAAGTCTCAAATTTCTTTTGTAGACAAGGATGATGACAATTCCATATATGTTTGATTAAAGCCTGGCCGAAGTCATTTTCTGTTCGCTATGAAAATATTACACAATCTCCTCAATGGCTGAAGTTTGGCTGTATTCTAAAGAGACTCCGTACTTAAGTTAGTGTTACATACAATTACTATATAATGGGTGACCTGTGGAGAGCTGCAAATGCCATAAAGACTACAAAAAAAATCAACATGAATTGAATAATTCAATGCAGTTAACTTGCAAAGAAATCCCATTTTCTCTCATTAAAATACATTTATTTTAAAAGCATGAAAGCAACAGAAGGAAAAACAATCATCCAGTGAGGGTATGGCATTAGCAGACTGTCATTGCTTCACACAATTTTTCGCTGCAACCCAAACACATGATGCTCATAAGCACCTTCACAAGGAATACAATACACTCTCAATAATGTTAGCTCTACATATAATAGTCTGCAAAAATAAGCCATTGTTAAAGGAATAATAAACTAAAATATTACATGAGAAGTACTTAGCATTGATGCATGTGTGAATGAAGAGGTTTTATTGAAGGTTAATAAGCTCAGCAGAATCATCAAGCAGCACATTCTTTGTTTGGACAGTGCATGAGGTCAGAAGGCACAACACTGTGTGGCAGGTTTGAATGGCTAACAAGGCGTTGTTGTTTTGGCTGTCTCCATCAGAGAAACTTTTTAAGGCTTATGTCTAAAACTACATTTGATGTTTCTTCAGGCAAATTTCAGGCACATTCTTGAGACATGATGGACTACTGACCACTTTGAAACCAGTGTCGCACTTTTTTGTTCTAGTTGTTATTCTTGCCTTCCAGTTAGGCTGTTGGTCTTCGGACAAGGCACTTATCTGAACTTAAGTCCAAACATTTGTGGTGTTTAGCTTTCATTGTACAGTGAGCAATGAAAATATATATATATTTTTTTAATTGAATCAAAAATAGAATGTTTTACACAGAAAACTCATGAGCACTCAACAAACTGCATAAATAGAATAGGGCATCAGATCCCATCGTTTCCTGGCCAGCTTTAACGATTCAAAGATTTCTAATGATCATAAAGGGAAAAAAGGATCTTAATATTGGTGCTACACTTAAAAGTAAAAATGTGGATGTGTTGGACAGGGGTCTCTCTTTAATGAAATGCAGGGTTTTTGTAATTCAATAACACAGTATATGTGCAAAGGCACTTTTCTTAGCTTGGCACACTAAATCAATTGCTGTTAAACAAATAAGGTAAATATAGGTTGAGGAGTTTACAGCCATTTTCTTCACTTCTAGTCCTGCACTTGGAGTGTGTATGTGTATGCTTATTTCATACTTTTTTTTTTTTTTTAAGAGTTAAGTTGAGTCAGTGTATGTGTGTTTATTTATTTTGTCTTTGGCAGGTGGCATGGCACTAGGTACAATTACAGGTATAATGATGTCTAGTATTGTGTAGTAATACAGGGTAAAACTCTGGTAACATCAAAATCCTTTACTCAGGCACATGTTCAAACACACACACACACACACACACACACACACACACACACACACACACATACAGACAGAGCAAACCAGGACAAGGAATGAGGACCTCCTACAGGAGGGGAAAAATGTTGTTGAGCTCAGTAGCCAGTTTTCATTTGACGTCGTCCTTTGAGACTATAATTGTGCACATTACTCCTCTCCTCCTCTTCATTGTTTCCAACAATCCTCTGTCTCGTGTTGCTTTTTCTTAAGAAGAATAACTCCAAACTGTGAACGAAAAAGTCCAAACTTTAAGATTAAAGACTTGACTTAATATTTTTCACCAAGCAATGTCTGTAAATGTAACGAAGAAGCTTTATACAGAGGAACTGTGTGACATCAATAATCAAGATTCAAGTGAAAAACCTACAAAGTAATAACATGCAGCAGGCCACACTTTTGGATAAGGACTATGAGATGTACCTCATTCAAAAATCACACGATGCTCCTCATCATTGTGGTGACAAAAAAGAATGACAACAGCAATATCATGTTTAACCTTCTCCATTCACAGGTTTGATACTCACTGACAATGATGACAATGATGATGATGAGAACAGCTATCAGGATGGCCCACATCTGCAGAAAGTAAAGGTTAAGTCAATTCAATTCAAAATACATTAACTGGAATTACATTTCCAGTAATTGAAATTAAAGACTGTTTATTTTACTGATATATAGTGTGTATATATATATATATATATATATATATATATATATATATATTCTGTGTTGTAGTGGTACATTATAGAATGTATGTTGTGCACAAATACAATGTATCTTTAATTATGCTTTACTTCAAGTGTTAACTATAGATGAATATTAACGCCATGTGATAACGGGTTTTCCGAGACTGAACATGATTCGTACTCTTTATTTTATGTCTTGCATGGATTTCAGTGAAGATAAATTGGATTTATTTGACTTTAAAGTGGGGGAGAAGTGTCTGCATTTTATTGCTTGGATAGGCACCTTGCAGTTCTTCCACCAGAACTTCCTTTTCAGCTTGGCAGCACTGGTCTCAAACTGGGAGGCTCCGGCCTGCAGTGCGTCTGCTCTGTCATCCAGTTCAGAAAGCTTCTGGTCACGTTCCAGCACTTTGTCTACATTAACACGCATAATGTCCACCACCTATTCAGACAGACGCACACACAGGCAACACACACACAAAACTTAAAACTTAAATAATACAGTATAAGCTATTACAATATATAAAATAGAATTTAAAAATGTAAAATATAAAAAATAAAACACACAAAATGTAAAAAAGGTGCAATGTAGGAGCTGTGCAGTGGACTATGAGAAAAAAAATCTTAATGTGTATAATGACATCATGCTTCTAGTGTTGAGTAACCTCTAACAATGTTACAAAACACCAAGAGGTGAGACCTTACAAGGTAAGACGTGTTATACATGAGCACCTCTGCTTAAAGAACAGTCAGTCTTGAATTAATCAGGCACGTGTACAGAAAGTATCAGCGAATAACCCAAATGTTCCACTGATCCACAAACCCCACTACTGCCCCTCCTCTCAGACAGAGAAGCAGGGTGGAGAGAAGTGTGTAGGCCCATGCATGCTCTTACATAACCAGAGACAGAGATTATATAAGCCTCTGCCAGCCAATTGGAGGCTTTGTGTGACATGCTAAGGTTAAAGTTCTGCGTGGGAGGGGCTAACCTGAAGGGAGGGGCAACAGGGCTGAGAAAGCGAGAGGCAGAACAGTAAAGGGGATTATGAGAGTACAGGAGGAACGAGATTTGGAACTCATTTTACTGTAATTACCTCACTGACACGGTCTTGAAAAAAAAAAAGAAATGCATCATCAAAAGGGAAGGGACAGCTTTCACTGAGTGTTCTGTAGCATGTGAACTGACATGGGGAGGTAGAGCGCTTAAGATCTACTGATTGTGTGGTGACTCATGACACCGCTGCCAAAGGGTTATGTAAGGCTCTGTTTGAGACAGACGTTAAGGAAGAAAGAAAAAAACAGAGATGAAGTGAGTGGCTGACGGGAAGGGCTGAAGTTCAATCATTTAGAGAGGTTGAGGTAAAATAATTGAGCCCCCCCCGGGTAAAGCATACTTGGTAGAAAATGCTTCTGAATTCAAGAGAGGAAATATCTCAAGAGAGCATGATATCAAAATAAATAGTGTAGATAAATGTGGTGCTTAAAAACAGACCTGTTAGAAAGCAAAAAGAGACATATCATACCTCATCCACTTGGGCTTGGGTCTGCTGCAAGCGCCTGTTTCCTGACGCTGCGCCAGAACCTTCTGGACCGGGAGCTGACCTGTTGAAAAGTTACAATAGGTGGATATGAGCCTCATGGAAGGTTTATACAAACATTCCCATTTGGAAATAAAGATGCAATTACAATTGAAAAAAAATCTATTCAAAAAAAGTTTCAATAATTACACCTTGTCATACGTCTATTTGAAGGAAGATTTCAGGCAGCACAGTATAATATTTGGGCTACATAATCTCTACTCAATTGGATAGTGCTTCATTCAACAGCAAGCAAACAGTCACTCAAAAGCATACGGCTGCAAGTATCATTTTTTTTATTTTCTTTTATGGATAGGACAGCTGAAGATAGACAGGAAATGTGGGGAGGAGAGAGTGGAGTAGACATGCATCAAAGGGTCGTGTCTGTGACTACAACCTAGCCTCTGTACATGGGGCACCTGCTCTACCAACTGAGCTTAATCTAGCGTAGCGGTTAATGCGCGCGCCCCATGTACGAAGGCTGTACTCCTTCAAGCGAACAGCCCGGGATCCATATCCCACCTGTGGCTTCTTTTCCGCATGTCATTCCCCACTCTCTCTCTCCCTGATTTCTGACTCTATCCAATGTCTTATCTCTAATTAAAAAGGCATTAAAAAGCCCCAAAATAAACCTTCAACAAACAGGGTTCAAAATGATACTGACAGGGCGCTTATTTGATACTTTTTCCCCAATAAATAAAAATTACTACAGTGGAAATCTATATCAAGAAAAAACTAGGCAGAAATGAGGGCAGTAAATCCATTTTGTATTTCTCCTTCCCTTGACAAGAAACACTTCCATGATTGACCAATAAACTGGTACAGGATATCAAATATAAAAGATGGTCAAATATTGTGTATATATATAAAAAGAAGCATCTTGAGGTTTTCTAGACATGAGGATCATCTCTGTGTCAGACACGTCTGCTCATATATTCAGCAGGCTGAAGTGTTTGTACTTCATATTAGAGCTTGTAAGATATATTGATATATTTTCAAAAATATAGAAATACTAGAAAATATAGTTTATATCAATATAGTTTATGTTGTGTTAAATAACCTTACATGTTTCTTCCATAGAGCCACAAGTTGGCCTTTTGCTCTCTCGCTGTCTGTCCCTCTTCACCCCGCCCCGCCTCCCTCCCTCTGTGAGAAAATCTCATAAACCACCTGCACAATAAAACACACAGCTGTGTTTTTTTCTTGTGCAGGAAATGATCACTTTTTTTATTTAAGGAGCGTTTTATATTTCACCAGTTTATTGTTCATGGTGACACTGTGCAGCTGGTTGTTAATAAACGTGCTTGCATGACATTTGGGATTTAGCCCAACTGGATTTGAATTAGAAAAGTCTATTTATTTATTTATTTACAAGAAAAAAACTTGAGCTATGTATTGACATCATTACTATCATTATTGAGCTGAACAAATAAATATTTTTGTGTATATATATATATATATATATATGTATGTATTTTTGGTCCATATCGCACCTCCCTACTTTATTGTTCTGTTCTTATCAGTGTGGTCGCTGAAGTGTGTTTAAAAATAATCCTTGGAGAAGTGTGAATGGATCATTAGAGAGTTCAGTTAACTTGTGTGTCATTTAAAACAATGAACCACAAAAGTATTTGAAAAGGAAAAACAGAACAAGTAAATATCCCCATGTATTTTTTTTACTTCATGATTCTAACTGAAGGTCGTCTTTTGTAGGCTTTATCCCTGCAGCCTCATGCACTGAATTCAAGTTAGATACTGCCACCCTCTGACATGAGACAGCATTGCTCTGCAGCGTCTGAACTTCTCTAAAGGAGATAACTGAAATTGAGCCATAAACACATATTATAACTTAGTCTAATGCATATATTCAGAATAAACATAGGCTGGAATGAGAGCCATGGCTTCTGTTAATAAATGACTCATTTTCCTGGCACAGCCATGCATACCAAGATGAAAACACAAAAGCCACAAACCCTTCCTGCAAAACAACTTGTATCATCCCTTGTGACGAGAAAAGCTACAAATTAAAATGTTGTCCTAAAGAGTGTTGTTATATTTCAAACACAGGTTTCATATTAAATCACTTTGATTTGCACTGTTGCTGAAATATAAATAAACTTGACCAAAGATGCCTGTGGTGTGCAGTGAATTCATGACTACAAACAAGTTCTGCTGTGCACCAACTCTCACACGAAGGCTGACAAACAATATCATCATCTAAACTTAAGCTACACAGATCTTCTGATCAGGACACTGTTGACAGATGCAAACCCTGACCACCTCTATTTGATCACTTTCTTAAATTAGAGAAAGAGGGCACTTCTTGGCTTCAAGATAACATCAAAAGTTAAACAAAACAAGATGACAGTGCTGATCTGTTTCCAAAACACAATCATCAGAGGGTACTGACAGCTGAGGAAGAAGATGAGGCATTTCCATATTTACCGCCAAGTCTTCCTCACTTCTCTCCAAAATAAAGACTGAATTAACACATCCAAACCTTTCTTGGGATACAAAAGGTTTAAAAATGTAAGAAACTAAAGGAACGCAAAAGGAAGCACACTACACTATCCATGCTATAGCTAAGTATCAATGTGTACAATCTGATCAGAGAAGTCAGAAAACAACTAATTTGTGTAACAGCCAGTTGATCCTCCAACCTGGCTGTTACTTTACACTGAGCTGGGAAAGTTAACACAACTGATGGATTGTTTAAACGTCTGTCTGTCCACTGGTCCATTTGAAGGTTTTTCGCCCAGCTTCACGTCATTCTGAACTTTACAAGCTAGCGGCAAGCAGACAAGAGCAAGCAGCTGAGATTAATGAAGATAGTGACTTCTCTCTTGGGGAAAAAAACAGCTGTGGATTTATTTTGGACATACTAGATAACACCTGGATGTGCCGCCCAGCATTATTTACCGACCATGTTTGCGGTGTTCTTTTTTTTAAATCATATTGTCTTCTACTGTACAGTGAAAAAACGATCTCCCCTCGCTATCTACCCATAGCTGAAGTAATGTGAGTAAGCGTTTGACACAGGCTCTGTAGGTAAGCAAAGAGGGAGAAGTCAGCTGTGCCTCCTGATGTATCGATCGTAATGTTGCGTCTTGTTTTAAATATATCATATAAGCTGCTCAAAGTGATCCAAGAAGGACAGTAGCTCTCTCTCTCTCGTTATTTGACTGTTCTGTGTCCATCAAAACAACCCCTCTACTTATCAAATATAAGATTAAAGTTAAAGGGACATGAGGTCTTTTCTTTATGTGTAACTGATTGTGTTTAATGGGTTCATAAACTCTTCTGAAATTGATCACAGACCCCTGAATGGAACCAAATCAAAATCGTCTCTTGGCAGATTTTGTGATATCTGCAAATATCCTCTTGTTGAAGAATCAATACAATACCATGCTGTGCTGAAACTGCAGATTTCCATCCCTACCTTCTAAGATTGCATACATCGTCTGGAGTGAGAAACAACAGCTCACCTACATTAAAGCTGTTAACAACATAGAACACATCAGAGTAAACTCAATGGAAGGTGCACTTATGTGTGATTGCAACAAAAAAATCCACAACGTAAACCCCCAAAGCAAGACAAACACCAAGACCATCAATGGTGTAAAGGTATACTACAGCTTCTTATTAATATTCTTGAGTATCAGGTGTCCGTGGCAAAACGGAAAAGATATTCATGTATAATTATAATAGTATTATACATTACAGAAAGTGTCTTTTTGGCTCATGTGGATGAAAGACACCAAATCCCAGAATGCACAGCACCGCAGGCCACTCCCACTAAGGTCCTCTAGTCCAGAATCAGAAATACTTTATTAATCCCAGAGGGAAATTCGATTGATACAGTTTCTCCAAAATATACAGTATAGCAGTAGAAATATAGAAATAAAAACATTTACAGACATATTTACTTCAACACATAAGACCGTTTCCTCAACAGATTCAGAGAGAAAACAGACTCTATGTCTGTGTCCATAGGCAAACAGTGAGAGCACCGACACTACCAGTCCGTCCCAGCTCGAGCCGGCCCCGGCTCCTCGTCCTCACCGCCGCAGACAGGCAGGCCTTAAGTCTCGGCTGCTGAGCTGGCAGCCGCCGGCGGTCTTGTGTCGCGGCGGCCCGCATCGGCAGCAGCCAAAACACAAGACCAGCCTCTCGGCAGCAGCCATCTCGTCACTATATTTATATTTTTTCTTCCATTACCAGCTTTTTCCATAGAGCCTGTTAGCATAGCTTCCGAGCAAAATGGCGGACATTAATTTTCAATTCTGGGAGTGAGTTCCCACCCACTGATCTGTGATTGGTCTGTAGCTTCAGTGGTCAAAAATATGAGGAATTAGCATTGTAGTTTCACCCCGCGAACGGCAACAGCTTCCAGTGACGCAAAAATTGTCATTTTGCATCACTGGAAGCTCCTTTTCAAACTCAGAAATACGACCATTCAAAAATACTACCAGGTTTCTAATGATACAAAGCTTAATGCAAATGAGTGAAGTAACCCTTTAAAATGGACATGGAAATGTGGGATGCTAGTTCTATTGCTGCCAATAAAATTAAACACACCCTTTGACCGATCACTAAAAGATAGACTCTACTTCTACAGTATGAAATGAATTCATATCGTCCAGACTTCCTCAGTTAGGTGGGAGGTCAATGGATGCAGGGTGGGGGAGGTAAACAGAGGAAACGAGAGACATTTGACTTGCCCTACATTTTTTGTAACATGACTAAAATGTGTTATTATAATATTTAAATCCAAATAAGACTATGAACTTGTTTCACGTTGCTTTCAAATGACTATACACGTAGTCAGTCGCTTGGTCAGCCAAACAAAAAACTCGGATCCAGAGAAAGGCTAATATTAGCTTTTAGCATATACTCAATATTCAATATTTATCCAACTGCGCACTTAACTGTCGCTTCATTGTGTCATTTAGCTGTCATTTAATTGAACAGCTTGTTGAATGCTGATCGTTTATTTATGTTATTTAAAGTAAACAAGTCCTGATGTAGCTACTGCCGCAACAGCTAGCTTAGCCGAATCTGGAAAACTTCTGTCCTAGCACTTGTTGCATGCTACCACCAAACTTTGGGCGTAGCTTTTTTCTGTGATCCTGTTTCACCAAAACACCCGTTAAAGTGGTATACAATGCAATTACAGGTTAGATAGTAACATCTGACAAGTTAAACGATTGTTAAATAGGCAACTTACATTTTGAAATGAAATTTCTGTGAAGGATAATGACGCTGGGTGAGTCTTGTAGCCTGTAAGCTAACAGTGAAGTGTCAAGCCGTAACAGTCGTCGTTGTTATGCTGCGTTCAAGAACTATCAGAATTAGGAAAAGTTAGATGATTGTAAAAGTCATATAAGTCCATCACTAAATCAAACAAAGAAAGCGGGATTTTTTCCTCTATTTGCTATGATACATTGTAAAAGTGAGTGATTAAAGATAAGTTAGTTCAGATAATAACTTTTGGTTTACGTTTGTCTATAATACCCTAATTTTAAAGCATATGTAGGCCTATCCCCTGATATTATGACTAATTTATCATGTCAAACTGTAAAAGGTGTCCCTCTGCTATCAGATTTCCCGATTACAATTCAAACAATATATATGCTCACTTTTTGAGTTACGTTTTGTTGTCAGATTAAAATAAACTCGTCTTTATTGTCCTACTATCTAGGTGTGGGCAAACAACGAACACTTGAAGGCAACATTAAAAAGGCAGTATAGGTCGTTGCTCTCTCTGCATACCTGCATAAATACTCAGAATCACATTTTAAAACGTTAAAGGGTGCTATTTATTGATAAGAATTCATTACATAACATAAGACATTAAATGATATGAGACCGCCTCAAATCAGTGAATGTTCACCCTTCCTTCATTCCTTTGGTCCATCGGTCTAATATGCAAGGAGAAAGCAAACCAGCAAAGCCCGTGATCATCATGTGACATACAGTAGGGTACTATTTATTTCTATTTAAAGTTAGAAGAAGAAAACATAGAGGGTTCATACATTAAATGTTACGGGCTGTCATGGCAGAACATGAGTTATGCTACCTTTCCTGTCAGACTTGGACTACAACACCGCAATTAATCACTTGGTTAACTGGGCTAGAACTAATTCCCTTGGTTGTTACATAAGCAGATTTACGATTGTTACAAAGAATATATCAACACAACACAAAAATAACAATACAAACAGGTTCAAATTCCAAAAACAAATGCTCAATTAATGGGGGGAGGGGGGTGTTAATAAGGCCATAGAGGGGACTTTATCCTTCAAATAAACCTTTGAACATTTAGTTTATTGCATCTTCAAATTTAAAATCACCAAAGTTGGAGACCTATTGTTTTCACGAACAGTGAAACAGTTTCATCTGAAAATGAGCAAAAACTTTAAAACAAGTGTTGAACTAAGTCTAGTTTAAGTTTTCATTTAATTAAAATATTTTACACAAGCGCACAATTATTTCAAACATCAACATCAATGTAGGTTCTTAAGGACTCAATGTATGCGACCACAAGTTGTAGCCCAAATGCCTTTTTATTTTGCATTCCATCATCATCAGACTTTTCTATCCTAGTCCAGTGACTGTTGAATACAACCTGCTCTTCAACTGGGTACTCATCAAAGGTAAAAGTACCCATGTGTTCAGTCAATTAGCCTCCTGTTCTTTGAACAAATGTAACAGCTGCATTTATATAAACACAATTGTTTACTGTTAGGAAGTTTTATTTAAAGACATGTTTCATTTTCTATAAATTACTTTTAGCATCATTGTCCTGTGAAGATCACATAGTTTTAAGAGGTTTACAGTACTTGTGGCGAATTTAAAACGAAAGCCCTGTTTTTAGCTTTGTGACGATACATTTACCAAGCCACACACAGGCTGGGTCACAAACCTATGAAGAATACCAAACAACCATGAGACAAATGATTTTTGTTCAAAGCCTGTGAGAGCAGACGATAGATAGATAGATAGATAGATAGATAGATAGATAGATCCCGAGGGAAATTCTAATTTACAGTACACAAAGCTTTAAAATAAATGTCATGTTTTGAGCACTTGAAGGCATCAGAAGTCTCTTTACAGTAATAAGCATGGTTAGTTTGACATCTTGTCTAACAGCCACCTTTACTCAGGAAATAAATGGTCCTGTCAGGTGTCAGTTTGTTTATTGATTTTGGACAAACAAGCCCAATAAGATACATACAGACAGAAAGGTAACTTACCAAAAATAAACTCCAACAAATAAGTGTAAGACCTTAAGACCTAGAGTCTGTTTTCTCTCAAAAGAACAGATATGGGGTTAAATGGTGTGCAACGCTCCTGTAGATTTCACATAAGAATAAGAGAACTGAAGATGTTTATTTTAGCCCAGATTTCTACTGAGACAATGTGAGAATAGTTTGGTCTGAATATCAAATTTAATACAAATTGATACAAATCCATACATGCATAACAAACATTAATATAAATGTTCTTTTTTTTTAAATCTCTGTTGAAAATGGTTAAGATAGACATAACTTGCGTACATGATCTTGATGTCAAACATTTAAACATTGATTATGAACTTTTAAACATTGATTAATATATACTACAAAATACACCTAACCCTAACTTACTTACCAAATTGAGGGAATATAATATTTGATTTTATATGAATACTGAAACAGTGTTTACTAGATTTATATTAGGTGATATACTGGCGACCTACATTTTCTACTTCCACCTCTCAAGTAATTGACCTAAAGCAAATAACAGGATATAGTCCAGAACTAAACTTCATACAGTAAAAACTGTGAAAACAAATAACAACATTTCTTTATCATCATGCTCAATCATTTTTAACTCAAAAGAAATGAAGTCATGCACACAGTTTAATCCCTTTTTAACAAATCCTCCTAATCATTTGCTCACAGGTTGCCGTTTATCTTATTGACATTACCTTGGATTTTATATTGCATAATGTAAGTCAGTGAGTTCACACTGATATAAAAATCAAAGTTGCCAGTGGTACCAGGATGAGTTTTTTTTGGAAAACAAGTGCTTCCCAATAACATCATGGCTCCTGTGCTCTCTTTGTCAGCTACATCCCAGACCCTTCATCCAGCACAGCTCCCCCTCCAGGGCTCTGCAAGAAGACAGAGAATGTAGGGCTTTATTTTAAATGCATGTTTAATATAGCATTCATTAAGCATAGAAGAAAAGTGAAGAGTCAACATCAAACCACAAAGACTTACTTCATGTATTTCTTTCTGAGCAGCCCCTCCATGATACATCATGCTGGAACTCTCCTCCTGTAAACAAGTTACTCATAGTTAATCCTGGTAGCTGTATAAGTGGTGTGCTTTTCACCAAAGATGTATGTGAAAACAACATGTACCCAAATGTCCTAAAACATGACAGCAACCCTAGATTATCACATTCCACCTCTCTGCTTGCTTTTAAGCCAGTCATCTGATATTTCTCGCAGGTGCACTAAGTAACAAAGTGTACGTTAATGGGCCGCCTTCACTTCTGCCTTTAGCGCGGTAATGGTTGATTGAGTTACATCTCGTCCCTGTCGAACAGAGGGGAGCCTCTCAACTCTTCATTCCAGGATCTCCACTTGGTCTTTTATTCCTTTTGGCAAAGACCCAGCTGCCCTTGCTGATGGATGGCCCTGTTCTCTAAATGAAACCTTCTTGTTAACACCGTCTGCAGTTGCCAACATCAACACTTATTTTGAAGCATGACAACAGGCAAAGAGAAGTTGTGTAAAAAAATTCTGTTTGAATTCTTATTCAAATGACCATGCTTGTGATTTAAAATGCTTATCTTATACTCTGTAAGCTCAATCAGAAATGTACACATATTAATTGATACATTCATTTAAAAAATAATAGAAACTATGTAATAGATAGCATTAATGTGCAAAACTTTGGATGAATTACATTTTTTATGTTAATGAATCCTTTATCGTGTAGATTCTGCATGTGCATGTTATTAAGCATTAAATGTAAAGATAGTAAAGCTGACAGAAGACTCACCAGTTCCACAACTGCTTCCATCAGTTCTCCATCTTCGCTGGCCTCAGTGCTGCATCCTCCAGGGAAACACTCTGATGAACGCTTCACTCTTAATTTCTGAAGGAAGTCCATCGCTGTAGATTTTCTCAGCAGCGCTATCAAGGTAAGATAAGATAAGATAATCCTTTATTTATTACACAACGGGGAAATTTACATTGCTACAGCAGCAAAGAGCAAAGATTGCAAACAAAAAGTGAACACAGTACAATTTAAAGAAAAAAAGAAAAATTAAGAATGTACAAAAAAATAGATAGATACCACAACATAGATTTAAAAGGTATCAAGGTATATAAAAAGTTGACAAAGATGTCTTATCTTCAAAGAACATAGCTGGCAGAGTGAAATATCAGGAATGCTGTAACACTCAAAAGCATCTTACCTCCCTCACTGATGTAGGGGATCAGGAGCATCACAGTCAGCAGGGTTGCAGCCATGTTCTCGTATAGACTCTCACACACTCGAGTGTTGTGCCCCCTTTGCAGCTCCTCATGCTTTTTGTTTGTCACCTGGGAAATCCCCACGCCCACTACAATCCCAGCAGCATTGCCCAAGAGGCATTGGACGGATTTGTAACAAACATTGAGGGTTATAATTACACAGCTATCAATCCTTGTGTAGTGACAATCTAATGCCCAAATTTCTTATCTTGCTTTTAGTCACTTGCATAGGTGTATGGAAAGTTCTTGACGTGTAAAAAATAAACAAATGTCCAAAATTAAAGTACTTTCTGATGTTTATTTTCACATATGAAGCAGAGACAACCCGTGATGATGATATGATGAGTTGTTATTTCTGAGATTATACTGTTGGTTGTCGTTCTTTTGTTATGTTAAATAGCCTACTTGCGTTATGTTGTGTTACGGTAAGAACCAGATGTTCCCACCACCTATGCCCTCGTTTCCTGTTCACCTGTGACATATAAACACTGAACCAACCACCTGACCAATTAACCCAAATGATCAATTATCACCACCTAGTGCCCAAATTAAGTAAATAAATCAACACACAAACAAAAGCCATTGAAATACAATACATAAATACACACACACTGAATTGGCTCCTACAGTTTGTAAAAGCTTGAAACCCATGAGGAGTGAAGTGGATTTCTGTGACTGTTTGAATTGTATAACTAGGTATTACTCCGCATACCTTTTGAAGGCCAATGTAAAAAAATATATATATATATACATATATAGTGCAGCCCAGCCGGTAGAACCGCACTCTGAAGCACTGGAGGGT